CAGTAAATTTTAAGCATTGGATCAATGTGCAGTGGTTGTAACTGAAGGGAGGTTTGTTTGAAGGGAGGTTGGATTTGAGATTAGGTTCTTGGGTTCCTCATCATGCAATTGAGCTTTTGCAATTTCAGAGAAATCTCGGGTAGTGAGGTTGATATTGTTTACCCGAGACAGGCATCAGCGACACAATTATCAGTACCAGAGACATATCTGATATCTGTACTAAACTGGGCGATGAAATCCAGATGTCGAAGCTGACGAGGAGAACATGAGTCAGAGTTTTTTCTAAAAGCGAAGGTTAATGGTCGATGATCGGTGAAAATGATGAAGTCGTGTCCTTCCAAGTTGTGCCGGAAGTATTTAACAGCACAGTACACAGCAAGTAGCTCCCTGTCATATGTGCTGTATTTCCTTTCTGCAGTAGTAAGTTTTCTGGAGAAGAATGCCATTGGGGAAAGTCCTTTAGTGGTATGGGCTTGAAGCACTGCTCCTATGGCCGTGTCAGATGCATCTACCATTATAGAGAGCTGATCACTAGGTGAGTGATAAGAAAGTGTGGCTGCATTTGCCAGATCGTGTTTTGCATTGCACGAATGCTGCAGATGCAGATTCAGTCCAAGGGACAGCTCGTTGATCGTTTTTTTTTTTTTTTGCTATTCTTCAGAAACTCATGTAGGCAGGCTTGTGTTTTTGCGGCATTTGGCAGAAAGCGTCGGTAGAAATTTAACATTGCTAGGAAAACGCTTCAGTTCAGAGATGGTTTTTGGGCTGAGGTAGGTCGTTAATTGCTTTGACTCTTTCCAGGTAAAGGTTTTCTGGGTGATAAGACATCCAAGAAAGGAAACTGAGGGTTGACCAAGTACACATGGATTTAGTTTTAATCCATGATCTTTAAGGCGAGTGAAAATCTGACGCAGATGTTGGAAAATGTTCTTCCGCATCTGTAGATGCAACCAGGATATCATCAAAATATGGGATGCAGAAATCGAGGCCAGACAGTACTTGGTGTATGAAACGCTGAAATGTTTGGCCAGCATTGCGAAGGCCAAATGGCATATATAAGTACTCAAAGAGACCAAATGGTGTAGTCACTGCGGTCTTGGGCACATCTTCAGCATGCACTGGGATCTGATGATATGCTCTGGCAAGATCGAGGGTAGGAAATATGTTTGTTCCATGAAAAAGATGGGTACAGTCTTGGATATGTGGGACTGGATATCTGTCAGGGACTGTGACGGCATTAAGTCGACGATAATCTCCACAAGGCCGCCAGTCACCATTAGACTTTTTAACCATGTGAAGTGGACTGGCCCATGGACTTTTAGATGGGCGAATGGTTCCCTGTGCTAGCATGAATTCAAATTCTTTGCGAGCAGCTTTTAGCATCTCTGGAGAAAGACGACGAGGCTTGGAAAATACAGGTGGGCCATGTGTTTCAATGTGATGATACACTTCTGGCTGATGAGTATGCTGCCCTGATTTGGATGGGTTTAAAATGTCAGGGAATTCTGCTAATAACCGATGAAACCGTGTGCTGCCCGATACAACACTTATGTTGGTAGGTACGTTCGATATGTGAGAAGCTTGGCCCTGTGATGTCAGCTGAGTTGTAGCATCAATTAAGCAATTATTCTTGACATCCACTAGAAGGTGGAAATGTGTCAAGAAGTCGACACCAATAATTGCTTGAGTTACATCCGCAATAATAAAAGGCCAGTTGAAAGTCCGGCGCAAGTTTAAATCAAGTGTCAATAGTTTGGTGCCGTAGGTTGCAATTTGGGTACCATTGGCTGCATACAGTACAAGTTTATTAAGTTGGTGAGCATTTGTTTTAGTTCTCGGGAGCACTGATATGTCAGCTCCAGTATCTACTAGAAAACATAACTGAGTTGAACGATCAGCCAGTACTATTCTGTCGATGTGGCGGACATTCTGTTGGCCAGCAGAAGACCGCCCATTTAGTTTCCCAGTTCCCGCTTGTTCAAAAGTGCATGGAGGGGCACACTTGCGAGCTTGAGCGCCAAAATTCATATGATAAAAACATATGCCACTTGTGGGTTCTTTGTACTGCGTTCGAGTATTGTGACGAGATCGACTCCTGCTTCGGGCACGAAATTTATTACGTGGGCCCTGATTTGATCGATTGTATCTCCGTGAAGCATGAAGACTTGTAGAGAGTTCAGATACTTTTTTGGTCAATTCAGCCACTTGTTGTTCGAGGGATGAACTGGAAGGTGCAGCATTAGCAGCACTGACATAAGCTGGAGTAACAAGTTCATTAATTTTGTCAGCCATTGCTGCTAAACGGGTTAGATCTTCATTGGAAGCAGCAAGAATTATTTGTATGTTATTAGGGAGACGCGAAAGCCATAGTGACTTCAACAAGTCGTCACTAAAATGGCTTCCTGCCAGATCACGCATTCGTGACAGCAAGTATGAAGGTCGCTGATCCCCAAGTTCAAGTCCTTGTAGTAAAATACGTATTTTTGAAGATTCACTTTCTGAATAGATTTCAATGAGCTGCTGTTTCAGTTTGGAGTATTTATCACAATCAGGTGGTTTGAGAATTAAGTCATGCACTGAATTCAGAATATCAAACTCAATTGCTGCAACTACATGGTTGAATTTTGTAGAATCCTCACTAATGCGAGCGATAGAAAATTGTGCCTCGATCTGAGCGAACCACAATGAAGGATTATTTTTCCAGAAAGGCGGTGGCTTCATCGCAACGCGTGTGATTTGTGGCTCTGGTGGAATATCGTCGGGCATACTGATAGGTAATTTTCACTTTAATTAATAAACACTTAACAGTACAAATATTGTAGCAAGAGGATACACTATTGATATTTTACCATGATAACAATAAATATTTTAACCATGCAGAAAAAATTTACGTAACGATACACACACAAATAAGACAAGGTCAACAATTACACACACAAATAATATTTTACCGAAATGCATTTGAAAAGAAACCCCTATTTGAAAAAAAAAATGATGCGTTCATTTTGTATTGCGCACACACAAAATCACCACTTCACACTGCTAAGGCACTTTCGAAGGAAAAAGGAAATCACTCCTGTAGCACATGGGAAAAAATTCACTACTTTCGAACACTGAGGAAAGAATTTTGCCGTAGCACGTTGCAGAAAAGTTACTGATGTAGCACATTTAGCGAAAATCACTATTGTATCACATTTGTCACAAAAGTTGAATGATCGAAGAATTATTGCATGACTGGAGAAGTCAGAGGAACGAAACAGATGACATTGATGATTTGCTGAAGCTCCTTGTGATGATATGCACGACTTTGAAAAAAACACAAGCAATATATATCTATCAATACTTCTAGAAATAATTGAAGGGGTACGTTGTAGCATACGTTTAATGTCCATATTCGTTGTTATTTTTAGTCAGTTCTTCAGAATGCCTTGGATGCACGTGGCTTAGGGTCGTTGAAAATCCATTGTCAGTAGCGTGTTCAGTCAAAAGGTCACCACTTTTGGTGGTCGTGTGCTTAATGCATGATATAATTAAAGAAAATAAGAGTAGACAATCTCCTATAACAAAAGAATATATTAAGTACTAAATTACAATTTAAATTACATTGCAGAGATCAACGCAGAGCTTGGAACACAGTTCATGCTACCGTCGTGTACAGTTGTCTCACCAGAAGTCTGAGTAAGTAATGACGTCGCTTTGCTGCTCCGATTAAGAACTGGATTTTACACGTGGCGCCATCTCATGAATAGAAGTTGAAGTATCTGTCGGAACGCCACATATGTCCCAATCCTGTTTTCTCGTTAATGAAATTGTTTAAAGAAGTTTGTTTTTATAGTATATTAATAATATTTTAAATTTTATGCAACGCACTTCAAGTTTGACTCCCATACGACAGAAATTAACCAGGATATTTAATTTCAAAATTTGCAGTTTTTGATGCAATTTTCAACTTGCCTTTAGGGATCGGTTAATTACCTTACGAGAAAATGAGTTTATATGAACCGCAGCAAAAAAATGTGTGTGATTTAATAGGCCGTACAAGGAAGTCATGTTGGCAAATAATTCCCTCCCAAAAATACTCGAAAGTCAATAACGATTCATCAAGACTCCAAGTTGTTTAATAAAACACATTTATTAGACGTAAGCACATCGAAACTCAATATGTGCATCTTTAAAATATCACAAAAAGATGCATTTTCTTCTTATAACTCAAGAACACAGCATAAAAAAATTACTCTTAAAATTAAAAAAGAATAGAACAGACTTAGCAATATTTTACTGTTACTAGAACCTAACTACTAAAAAATCGCGCAGTTACAAACACGTCAAAAATGAAATTACGCACGCATTATTCAAAGATAAAAATAAAATATAAACAAAATAATACCTTACGTTTGTAAATATTTGAAAGATACAATTTTTCACATACTCCCACATAAGTTAACTAAAGTATAGAAAGTTAACTTATTAAATATAGTTGCTAATATTAAAAAAGTTTTTAAAAAACTTATTCAGTTCAAAGTGACAGTTTTATGGGTGCTTTAATTACTCGGCCACTGCTTGTTGTCACAGGGTTCTCTGCTTTTGCTTTAGCTCGACCAGGATAGTCCTCATTTAATACTTTGCCAGCAGTTTCTTGTTTCTCCTTTTCTCTTTTATTTTTTACTTCATTTTGTATTATTTCTGATGTGGTTTCTAGTGCAGAAATTTCTAAAGGATATAATTTTTATGCAGCTCGGATCAGTTCTCCACTTTGCATCCTTACAATACCACGACGAACAATACCATCAACTCCTGGAAGTACTTTAACTATTCGACCAAGTGGCCAAAGTTGTCTTCTTTTATCGTCGTCTTCAATGAGAACTACGTCTCCTTCTTTTAGCCTTTGTTTTGTACATAATGCTCCCAAATATTCTTGACGAAATCTTTTTCTAAATGCTTCCCGTACTGTTTGAATATATTGTAACCTTCGCCGTAAACTATTTGAATTTGGATTCATTTTAAGGTCTGGTATGGTCAGGTGATACTGTAGTTAAAGGCCTTTCATTTAAAATAGCCACACAATTGCATAAAGCTGTAATCATTTCTTCGTAACTTAAACTGGCTCTTCCTAGAGTTTTCTTTAAAATAATTTTCATCATTCCTACAAGTCTCTCCCACCAACCTCCCCACCAAGGAGCATTAGGTGGTATAAACTTCCAAGTTATGTGTTCTCTTGCTTCAAGGAAAATTTTCTCAAAATCAATAAACGCAAAAGCACTAGCAGCTCCTTTGAAATTAGTTCCATTATCACTGTATACGACTGAAAGTTTCCCTCTGCGAGCAACAAAACGATGAAAAGCTAGTAGAAATGTCTCTGTTGATATGGATGTCACTAATTCAAGGTGGGCGGCACGATACACCGCACAGGTGAAAAGAGCAATCCAAGATTTTGAGTTATCTCTTAGAATTACTGGGCCAGCAAAGTCCATTCCCGTTATCTGAAATGCAGCAGCGTCTTGAACTCTATCTGATGATTGTGGCGCAGTGGGAGGATTATTATTATCTTTAGCTGAAAATCGCTTGCAAATAATGCAAGATCTCAATACATGTTTAACGGCTCTCCTTCCGCAGAGAAGCCGGTATTTCTCTCTTAAAGAATTTAAAGTGTATGAGACACCAGCATGCCCATTTCTCCGGTGATCTTCTAACACCAAACTTTTCACAAGTGGATGTTCTCCTGGTAAAATTGCTGGCATTTTTAATTCTTCATGAACATCTCTTCTGAGTACAGCTGATTTCAGTCGTATAATTCCATTATCAAGGAATGTGTCCAAAGATTGTAATCGTTTATCTCTTAACCCACCGAAGGATTCTTGTTATATTAAATACACTATTGTTTTCTCTGCTTCATCGATATCAGAGACTCTGAGATTCCCTCTTTTCTTTTCTTGCTTATGTCGACAATTGTAGACAAATCTTTTTATCCAACCCATGATATTTACTGCTTTTTTATAATCCGCAAGAGGAGAATTTAGGAAACTGCTCACTCCAACAGTCAACATGGAAGAAACGTTTTTCTTCATTCGTTCCCTGTTTACTTCCTCTTCACATGTAATATCTTCAGGGACAGGTCACATTTCATCGGGTAAATAGAGCCACGAAGGACTCTCCCACCATTTTAAAGACGCAAAATGTCGTGCAGAGCAACCTCTGCTAGGAAGATCGGCTGGATTCATTGCACTGGGAACCTATCTCCAGGTTTCTTTAGATGTCAAATGTAATATCTCTTTTACTCTATATTATGGACGAAAACGCCCAAAGAATCTTCCCTTCTTATCCAAGCAAGCACAGTCGTTAAGTACGTTCAACAGTAAACCTTTTTAACTGGAAGATCTTTTACTATGCTTGATAAAAGTCGTGTAGCGATAGTAGCACCAAGAAGCTTCAATCGTGCAATGCTAGTTTTTCTTTTTCCACAGGGTGAAATTCTTGCTCTAGCCTGTATAAGTTGAATGTACACTGAGTTTTTTTTTCAACACGAAAGAAAAGAAGACTGCTGTCGCATATGCAAATTTACTTGCATCACAAAACACATGTAAAGAATGCTTATCATTTACTTTTCCAAATTTGATTGATCTTGGGATTTCAAATTTAGACAAAAAAGGTACATCTTTCATCCATTTTAAAAATTCTTTCTTTATATCTGCATCTACTTCCTGATCCCAGCTGATGTTTGCTTTCAATAAATGTTGCAAAAGAAGTTTGGGAATTAAGGTTATTGAACAAGCAATCTCCAAAGGATCGAAAATTCTGTGAGCAGCAGCTAGAATAGTTCTTTTCGTTATTTTCTCTGTACACAGATTCTCGAAACTGGATATATTCACTTAGAGGTATCTCTCATTTTGCTCCATATTAATCCAAGAACATTTGTAGCGGTAAGAGAAAGTCTTGAAGAATCTGTATTTTCCCATCCTCTCAAATGAAACTGTCTTTCTGCCATTACTTCTGAAGCCACTGTTATGGAAAGTTTGTAATTCAGATTCATCTTTCACACTCGTGACACAATTGTCAACTAGAAACTACTAAGAAGTTTCTGTATAATTTCTTTTGGATAAATGGACTGTCCTTCTACGCATTTGTTTAGAACTGTCTGTAAATGATGCTGAATAACAGCTCCAAGGAGAAAAGAACTACTTGAAACTCCGAACACAATTGACTCTCTAGTGAACCCGAACACTCTAGTGACGATAAATTTTCAATTCATTGTTGCTATTTACCCAGAGGAATCTTTGGAAATTTTTATCATTTGGATAAAGGCTGATTTGGAGAAAAGCTTTTCAAATGTCTGCAACGACACATACTTGTCTAAACGAAATCTAGTAAAAATAGAAGGAATCAGTTCTATGAGGTTTGGGCCCTTGTCTAAACATTCCTTGAGACTGGGTGACCCATTTTCCCTTGCTGAAGCATCAATTACTGGTCGGATTCGTGTCGAACTGTTTTCTAACAATATGTCTGTGAGGCAGATAATAACAAGCAACATCTTTTTCACTCAATGGTACTTCCTCAATGATACCTTCTTTCAACCAATCCTGAAATATATTTCCGTAATCTTCATATAAGAATTTAATCTTTTGAGAGGTAAGTCATAGTCGTCTGGAAGTAGACGGTGACCTTCAATCCATGGTAGACTTAACATAAAACGTTCATTCTCGATTTTCACGGTATTTAAAAAATGGGACTTCGCAGCTTCCTCAAGTTCGGGTTTTGTTTTGCTTTCTGATGGGTCCCTGATACCTAAACACTCTAATGTCCACAAATCTGTTATACAAGCATTTTTATTTAACATTGAAATTAAAGTTATACTCTCACTGTACGACGCTGCTGGGATGCGACCTATAATCGTCGACCCTAGTTTTGTTTCAATGGCTGCAAGATCACTGGGTAGAAGTTTAGAACCGCCAGTCATCAACTTGCCCGATATGTCAGCTCCAATTAAAATTTCAATAGGCCCACATTCCTTATCATCAGGATAAATGCCTAAGTTTGCAAGTTCTTTTAGATAAAATTCCGATGCTACTGGTGGCATGGTATCACATATTACAGGTTGGCGTAATGCTTCGAAACAATTGTATGTACACTTCATATTTCATAAATATATCACTAGCACATCATGTTTATACACTTTAGCATTACTTCCTCCGAACAGTGAGTGTTGAAGGTATTCATTTCTTAAGGCTTGTACCCCCATCTCTTTAGCTGTTTTACTCAATGTAAGACCTCTGCGAAGCAGAATCAATAATGGCTCGAGCTTTACCCTTTTTACCATTGCATCTTAAAATCACAGTTAATGTTTGTAACATAATATTAGGTGCACTTGATACATTAGCAAGTGCCTGATCTCTCTGTAAATCAGTTTTAATAGACTCAGTTTCCTTTTTATTAGAATGTATTGCACTTCCTATAGCTATATTTCTACACAGAAGTACATGATGTCTTTTCCCAAATAGTACGCAACTCGATTTTTCATTACATTTCATTACTCGGTGCCCATGTCTCAGGCAGAGAAAGCAGCAACGCGATAGCTTCTCTCTCATTTAGAAGTATATTTTTGCATTCCTACAATCCCAAGAATTATGAGGATTTGAACAAAACATGCACAATTTTTGCCCTTGGGCTGATGTAAACAGTTCGGAAGTACTAGGTACAGGCAATGGATTGCCAAATTTCGATTTAGTACTCCTGATTTTATTTTCAAAATGTATTTTAACACTGCATTTGTTATCATATTTTCCTGTCTTCTTTTGATCAAATGTTTGGGAAGCTAAAGATATTCGCTCTTCCAATTCTACTTCATCTTGAAGAAATTCAAGTAAATAATCTAGATCACTTTTCTCTATTATTTTTGACTGCTCAGAATTTTACCCGTTTTGTGGATTTAAATCTCTAGATCTACGATTAACTGCTCGGTAACGTTCCCATGCTCTAAGTGTCTCATCAGGCAAAGAAGGCTCAACAAGAGGAAAAAGCATGGCTGCCTATTTATCTCTAGTAACCCCTAGAATTTCTAAAGCACGAAGCTTAGATTCCAACTGGTCATAAAGTTTTCTTAAAGACCACCCAGGTGTGTTTTGCTTTTGAAGTATTAAAGCCAATAAATCTCTTACATAAACTTGAATTAACAGTTGATTCTTTCCAAAACGCGCATGTAATTGTTTTACAGCTTTCTCATAACTTTCGTCGCTTGGCGGGAAACTTCTAATTAATTCTTCTGCAACAGAACCTTGTTGCATGGCCTGGGATAAGTATGTAAATTTATCTTGATTATCAACGTTAGGGTCCTTATCAATTTTCTTAAATTATTCCCAAAAATTAAGCCAATTTTTTAAATCACCATTAAATGTTGGTAATTTTAACTTGGGATAATATATCATTGTATTAGGAATTGTCGAAATTGACGCACATCCTATGTGTAAACCAGTTTTCTAGTCTGACTCTTTATTCATCTTATATTCTAACTTTCTCCATCTATCTAAATATGATTCTGACTCATCAACCTCTTTTTCGATAGTTTTTTTTCATCTACAACTTGTTTAAATAGTTCTTGCTTAAAATCGTTTTCAGCTGAAACCATTAATTTTGATTTCTCTTTAATAACTCTTAATTCTAAAAATTTTCTACGTCACTTAAATTATTTTCTCTTTGATCAAATTCATTACACAATTTAGAAAATACTCTACGATGTTGCTTACGTGCTAGTTTTAAAGCTTCCATACTTAAAAAATAATGAAAACAAATTGCTTACTTTTAGTTGCAATTCCAAGCCTTTCTTGCAGTCGCCAGTTGACAAATAATTTCCTCTCAAAAATACTTCGTAAGTCAATAAGGATTTATTAAAACTCCAAGTTGTTTAATAAAACACATTTATTAGACTTGAGCACATTGAAACTCAATATGTGCATCTTTAAATATTACAAAAAGATGCCTTCTCTTCTTATAACTCAGAAAAAACAGCATCAGTTTCTCTTAAGGCCTACCCTAAATTCGTCGTTTTGGTGAAAATTTTCGAAAATGTGTTTATTTATTCATTTTATAGGCCGTACATTTAGGTTTCCAAAAATGCTTTAATTTTGTTTTTACGATAACTAGAAGATAAATTATAGTATAAAAAATAAACCGAAGTGAATTAATGATGCCGGAAGTTGGTATTTAAATGATCGTCAAAATGTAAACAATAAGTTTAAACAACTATTTTCTAGTTATTAAACAAAATAAAAGCTGCAAATGCAATACATCTTTCACTATGTGACACTTTGTTGATATAATGTCTACATGGGAAGATTCAAAACAATAATGAGTGTTTTAATAACCTTTTGAGAACTAATTTACCTAAACTTTCGTCCAACTCAAAACATTGCTTTTAGGTGCACATATTGCTGTATTATTATTTAATTCAAGATATTTAGGACTTTTACCTATTTTCAGTTTTATAGATATAGAAATTAATCCCATTATGCTTGAAAGCTACATGGAAATACACAAACAGCGAATTCAGAAATCGAAACGTCAATCTCTACAAGCAACAAAGTTATCCAGAAAAATGCTAAAAGAAGTCAAAATTAGTTAAGAATGAAGTAAAAGAGGGCCTGGCATACAAATAGGGCGAGTTTTAAAGGTCTAAAGTGGCTAAAATCTTTAAATGCATTTTCTGAGAAATTGTGTTTTTCGTTACTTTTGATTGCGATTACGTTAATTTTTCAAAATGTGTTTAAAATATTGAAATGAAATTTTTCCAAAATGTTTTATTCATAAAGATGAATAGCTAAAGAGCTGTGTTCTGTAGCAAAATCTAATCTCTTTGTATTTATTTATTGATTTTATTGACAGTATTTTGAAGAAAAGGGGATTTGTTTTGTTTTAATTTTGAGATTTTGTACCAAGTTTTGAATATTTCAAACATTTTTATAAGCAAATCTTTTGCTACAGAACACAGGTAAATATGTTATTTATATAAAGATTATTGAAGTATATTCATTAGAATCTATTATAGGAGATCTGGCGTAAATGAAAATTTTCACTAAAATTTTACTAAATATTGCCTATATTTAAAAAATTAATGAAACGTTCTATAAAATCCCATTTAAATTAATAGTTTTATATCCCATCTTACTCAAAAACATGTGTGTTTAATTAAAATTTTATGTATTTTAAAAAAATGTGCTTCGTATTTTGGCACATACCTAATTAAAAAGACTAGAACATACTTAGCAATATTTTACTGTTGCCAGAACCTAACTACTAAAAAATCGCGCAGTTAAAACACGTCAAAAAATGAAATTCAGCCCGCATTATTCAAAGATAAAAATAAAATATAAATAAAATAATAATTTACGTTTGTAAATATTTGAAAGATAAAATTTTTTACACATGTGTGCTCATCAGATTTTTTTACTGTGGCTCAGAAATAGTCTTCCGTTTAGGACTGGTAATGTGCTGCAACCCTGCTAGCCGGCCTCATGGTTAATGCAGCATATTCAGCACAGATCGTAGCAAAAATGCTGTTAAAAACATCAAATCAAAATTCCCAATATTGTTGTTCGATCGCCATTAATAAAGCTCGTCAAATTCTTTGCAAATCTGAACTTTTTCCTGCGGCAATTGAATTCTTTTATGTTAACATGTTTTTCTTTAACTTGTCGCAATAATACGCAGTATTCGACATGTCGCGCATTGCCTTCAGCATTACACAAATTACTAAGACTATTATTTTCCAAATTAAATCTTTTCTCCGAGAAGCGCCCGTGCCCAGTAATTATTTGATTGTAATCAAAATCACATATCATTCTTATATTTTTAATAACTTCAAGATTCAACAAATAACCTTTATTTTTTCCGAAATGATAAATTTTTCTTTCTAGTAATCATAATAGAAATCCTTGATTTTACCAATAACAATTCTTTTTGGTGCCTGAATGTCGAAAGCATCTCCGGCATTACCCATAGCAGCGTCTTTGGCTAGCATGTCGGCCCTCTCATTGCCTATAACATCAATATGGGCTTTCAGCCTAATAATTTTCACTTCATGTATTTTCTTAACTTTTATGAGGAGATCTTTTCTATATGAGACCAAAATATAAGTGTTATCAGCATCTGCTAGTGCTTCCAAACTTGATAATCTGTATGTATATTAATATATGCTTTTTACAATCGGGTAAAAACTTATATTAATGGAACTCCAAGACTCCCACGCAATATAATATAACGGGAGTAATAACTGTTTTGTAAATGATTCTAATAATGTTACTTCTCAGTGCTAATTTACAATCGAAAAACACGCTAAAATATTTAAAGTTTTCATCATATTTAATTCTGACACCTTCATAGTTTAGTTATGGTGTGCTAGTTTTTAATTATTTTCTATTATTATTATTATTATTATTATTATTATTATTATTATTTTTTCATTTACTTTTCATTTTAGTTTCCTAAGATAGATTGATATTCGAATAATCACGGTGTTTGCATTCCTTTAATAAATTTAATGTTAATGCGAAACTTCGAAGTACCAGCTTAGCTCGAAGTAAAATGAGCATCCTCAAAGATTATTTTATTGTTTAGTGATTGCTCTTGTATTTTTCACAGCAACCTTGAAATCAGCAATGGCCAAGCCTGAACTTTTGTCCGAAAGAATTTTTGAGTACCAAACATCGAAAAAACTTCCAAGATCCATTTCTTCATCAGTTAGAGAATCGTGTTTGTCGTCTAATGTAAGTGTCTACTTCGTTCTTTATCCTTATAATTTTATTTGTTTTTCTTTTTCAGGTTGATACCCATGTCTAATAGTTGAAAGCCAGGTTGACTGCAACTGTGAGCAATACGCATGTCTATTGTTTACTGTCTGTCTGGCAGAAAGTCTGAGCCAGTGCAAAATAAGACATGTCTACTGTGATTGTGTTTGACGAGAGCTGTAAAACTTGACATTTGTCTTTCATGAATCTTTTCGTAACTAAATATGATGCGAAGCTGACTGGTAGAAAAATAATCATTGTTATCAAGAAGCGAAACTGTAGTTAGTTTTGTTTGCCTTTTAAATATGGCGAAGGAAGAAATGGAAGACTCTGATGAAGATGTTGTACTTCCAAATTCACCTCTGGCGGATTACATGCGAAACGTTTACAATTCAGATTATATAAATTTACCTTTCTTAGAAGATGTAAGGAATCAAAATGTCAGGTCTGGGTTAAATGATATGCTTTCGGATATGAATGTGGAAAGGAAATCCGTAAGCGTGATGACAAGTATAATAAGTAGCTTAAAAAGTTGGGTGATTTCCTTATATGCACATCTGTTACCGTTTACTGAACAGGTTAATCGCTATCTGCAAAATCGCATTTTGAGGAACTTTCAAAATTCTAAAATTTTGATAGCTGAAGACATGTCTTTCTTGCAGAATTGGGAATCAGAAACTCTAAGTGATGTTAAATCATCTGCGGCAGCTGCATTTCAAATAATTGCTACCATTCTTGTGATTTTCATTTTTAAAAGCCTGTTTGTCGATTCTGGTATTCAGTGTTTGGATAAAAAGTACATTTTATTTCCTGAATATTTCCATTTATGGTTTCATATATATACTTTAATTTTAAAATACCTTTTCAATGGTATTTTATTATTACTTTTCATTTTCATAGTCATGAATGTAATAAAAGTGCTGTTTTACATAAATTTGCATTTAAATATAACAAAAACTTTGAATAATATGCAAAGTATGACTTGTGTAATAAAAAAAAGTATCAGACTTATTCAAGAAGCAGAATTAATAGCACGAGGTTTCACTTCTGCATCCGTTACAGCTGTAGCGGAACGAATTGAAACTGCATCTGGTTTGCCTATTGCCTGTCCAAACAGACAATATCCTGAACTTCGGAAATGCATATTTACATGGAACAAGACCTTGTTTATGTATCATAGATCAGCTACTTTAAAAATTTTACAAACTGTGCCTTTAGGACAATATTTTGATTTTTCTTCTCATGCTGTAGCTATGTTAGATTTAAAAGAGTTTGGTGAGCTTTTGAAGTATGATGTAAATTCTGTAGATCAGTTAGAAGAACTCGAAAAAGTTTCTAGTGGCTTTAGTATAACGTCATTAAAAACAATTTATCAGTTAATGGAACTACAAATGTCTGAATTTTTTAAGTACTTATATCTTAGTATGTCATGTTTAATTAGCAGTAATCATATAAATCACTTATGTTATCTCATGCGTCTGAAGTCAACACTGTCAACCTTACAAAAGGAAATGACTTTTCTATTAAATGAAACTCATTCTGTTTATCGATATTATAGAAGCATGGCTACTGATACTGTTGAAAATAATTTACAGTTGTCTTCTCGTAAATCACATTTAGAGGTGGCTGTTCACAATATGAGTTTGCATTTGAAAGCTGCTTTAGTAAGATTACTCCAAGCTGAAGATCATTTAAGTAAAACGTATAAAGAACATGGTGATTGTGACTCGTTAATAAGTAATAACTCTTTGCGTTTGGTACATTCTGTACTTAAAGAAGTTAAATTAGAAGTTTCAGCATATGAAGTAATATTTGTAGAATGTACTGATTATATTAATAAGTTAATTGATGGTAATGAAAAATTTCCAGTTGAACAGATAAATATTAAAACATTTCCAAATGACTCTCAAGACATTTCAAAACCAGTTAAGTGTGATGTTGAAAGAAATATTGAAGATGAAGTTTTTGAAGCTGTAGTAACAAAATTATCTCATGAAATTAATGAAAAAGATGAAAGAAATTTTGCTGATGAAGAATGTAAAAGGAATCTAGAAGTTTCAAGTCATTTGATGCAGGAACTTAAAAATGTGCTTGTTGTTAAAGCTGATGAATGTCGTATTCGTGAACAGAAAGCTTTGGCAAAGAAAAAACAAGAACTGGGAATTTCTGAATCTCCTGAAATTTTGTATGCTGGTTCAGAAAGTGTAGACGAATCCCCGATGAATACTTGTTTGTTAGGTAAGAAAAAATTTGCAGAATCCTGGGACACATACAAAAACAGTTCTTACTTGCACGATATTAATGATTTTGAACATGATGATGAAGATATAAGGACAGAAGATTCTCAGAATACTAAATTAAGTTTTGAACATAGCATATTAGATAAAAATGATTCTTTTGCATCTTCAATTGCTGCATTGGCAGCTCAACGTAAACAAATGTTAGGCATATCCCCTGATGTATGCTTTGACAATGAAAGTGGAAATGAAAGTTTATCTGAGTAATGATTGTTATATTGTATTTATTTTGGCTACATGTGTCAAATATGACCAAACATTTAAATGCTTTTTAGAATTTAATTTTATGTAACTAACTTATAAGTTAACTTTTACAAGTAAATAAAAGTATTAAATTAAAATGGTCTAAAGTTTCAGAATGTAAAAAAGATATTACATTATGTAATTAATACATTTAATTTAAATCATTTCCAAGTTACATAAATATTCAGACTTTTTTGAATTTTGTATGAATCAATTGAAAAATAATTTACTGCATTGTAATGAAATGCAATAGTTATTACAAAAATTGCATGCAGTGGAATATTAATTATCTATGTACTTGCACATTTTCTTACCTAGTTTGCCGTTTAAAATTTCATGCCGTTTAAAAACATTTGATTTCATGCCGTTTAAAAACATTTGATTTTATGGTAGCTGAGTGCAGTAAAACATGTATAAAAGAATAATATTAATGATGATTTACTTATAACTAACTACTTTAAAGTGTGCAGTATTTAAAATAATTGCTAATCTTTGGAATATGGTAACAGGTAGTAAGGCGATAAAGGTTACTAGCTAGGACTTTAGCAGTGTACATGGATAAAGTCAAGAGTTTGCACAATGCCGTTTTTGTGCAATTCTGGAATTTTTTTTAAGTGAAAATAGGTCGACGTGTACATGGATGATACCGTGTATGTGCAATTCTTAAAAACGCGGCAAGCAGTGGACGATTCTGCACTTTCTCCCAATTTCGCACCTAATCTTCGTCATGATTAAGCACTTTTGTTCCATAAAAGTTCTAGTATAAGCGTAATTCGGCTAGCAGATTGTTGAAAAAAAATGTTGAGTTAAAAAAAAAAAATTTGCTTTTACTTCGTAAAAACAAAATGGCGTCAAAAAAAAAAAAAACTAGCAGGCTGCTGTACAGGGTTGGTCGCCAAAAAATCGCCTTACCATAATCCAAAGATTAACCAAAATGACTTTTCAACTGTCCAGTAACCTGTAGTGACACCAGTAATTCATATATGAGCATACTGTTTACTTGCATCTTGTTCTTTATGCTGGTTCTGTAGGGTGTATATTTGTTCTCTAGATCTGTTTGACTGTGGCATAATAAACTTAGTCTATTTCCAGAGATGCCATTGTGGTGGATTTTCTAAGGATGAAATCCTGCACAGTTGTTCGTATTTATGTTACACATAATATTATGAATACCTTATGCAGCCAACTCATTAATCTTAGAGGCAAGGCAAATTAGCAGTGTTTTACTAAAACCACTTAGCCATTACTCAGCATTTTGTTATATATCAGAGTTGGTCCAGCTGCATGATAGAATTCAAGAATATTCACTAGACAAAACTACATTTTTTGCATATTTTTTAATTGTATCAAAATATATTTTAATAGATAAAAACATTCAAAGTAAATTAGCAAAGATTTTGCTTTTTTATTAACATGGCTAATCATTAATATAAGTAATTTTTGTTGATAAGAAAATTTTTTGAGTAGTGTCTCCCTGTTTTAATTGATAGAAATTGAAATTTTTTTTTTTTTTTTTTTTTGAAGCGGAGGCAATGTTTTTTTTTTTTTTTCCGTTAATCTAAAAAGCTTTACATTTTATTCTATAAATAAGATGAGAACTAGCAGATTTTTAGCAACTCGTGCATTCTTCTCTGAAGGGATGTGAAAATAATTTTAAAATAAGCAACCAACTTACAAACGATTTTATATAAAGATTTCAATTTTGCTAGCAATTGATAAAAGAATCAATATATGGAGATCAAACTTAAAACATTTAGTTGTGCAGTTTGATAAGAATAGGACACATAGTAAATTGTCCAGAGAAATTAATAGCATTTAGATCAGAATTACATACATTCTTTTATCTTTTCATTAAGACCTGAGAGGTAACAAGTTACCAGTTTGTTTCTCTTTTCTACTTTTCTGATCAACCATTTATTTACTGTTCTGATAGAAAGTCACAGAATTGAAATCATTTGCTTTTTGTTCCTAATTTTGAAGACTTTTAAGACATGATACTCGATTTGAAGTTTATTTAAAGTTTTTTTTTTTTTTTTTTTTTTTTTTTTTTTTTTTTACATATATGTAATGTAATTTAAACAAATTAATTATTGGTTGTTAAGTAGAATTTTTTTTGTTTCAAATTATACTTAAGAAACAGAACTGCTGTTTTTTACATTGCAATCTATATTTAAAGGACCGAAGTAGTTTTATCATGCCTGTTAATATATGCTTGCTAACTGCAGCATATGCATGTGACTTACTGTTTAATATTGTGTGGCATATCTCAGCAGCTTTTGATTAGAAACTAAAATGTACAAAAATAAGAATTCATGGTAAAAATATATTTACGGGTACCCTGTGGCGTTTTTTGGCGGTTGCACAAACTTGGTATCCGTGTACACATCGACATATTTTCACTTTAAAAAAATCAGAGAATTGCACAAACTAGGCATTGCGCACTCTTTGCAATAAATAAAACAACTTCACGATAATACAAGGGGTACTCTTCTCTCTGTTCTAGCCGAATCATAAGTGATTTAAAAAATTTGGTTTTCTTAAAATGAAATATAGAGTGGTGATTAAACTTGTAACTGCTTGCTGAGGGTTGGTTTTAATGCTCACAAATACAGATAAAAATTTGTTGCATAAAGTGTTTGTGAAAAATATACATTAGTCTTCTCACAAAAATATGCATTGACTTTCAATACGAATATTAAAAATTTTTAGTCATTTTGGCGAAAATGTTTTTTATTGAATATTTTTAAGTCGCAAAGCTTCTTTTTTACCGAAATACCTGCATATGTCTTTGGTCTGATAAAATTAAAGTCGGCCTATTGAGTTATATCATTTTTAAATGTGTTCCATTAATGAAGTATTTGCACTTAATTACTAGTTTTATGAAATTTGATTTTGCTTAACAAATTTACACATAACATGAATTTTCTCATCAATATTTGTGATATGAAGCAGCAATTAACATTTTAATATTATTTTTTTATGTGTTTACATTTATGTGATGTAATTATAGCAGTCATTTCTGTATAATGACCAATTTTTGCTGATCTTTCAATGAAAGGAATTAGTGGCATACAGTGAAATTTAAGCATTATCTGATTTTACCTTTATAGGACAACACACGTGAAAAGTTTATACACCAACTTCATGCTTCAAGCAACAACAAAAAAAAAAAAAAAAAAAAAACTTATGTAATTAGCTGATTTGAATATCATAAAATTTTTCTCAACAAAAGAACATCTCTTAGCTCAGCTATTTCAGTAAATAATATTTACTATAAAAGCTAGTATACTGTGATAAGAAATTAAAACAACAGATTTGATGTTTTTGATGCCGAATAGATAATGTTAGCACATATATCTCTGTTGAAAATTGCTTGGTGTATGTTGTCCTATAATGGAAAAGATCCTCATCGTTGAATTTAAATACTTTAAAATCTACAATAAATAATTAACAACAAAAGATAGATATATTTTCTGACAAACAAAATAGAAATTTTAATATACTGTTTTGCTTGTCTGATACTTAATTATATTAAGTTTTTTAAAGTAAAAAAATTTAACTTACTTTTTTTTTTTTTTTTTTTTTTTTTTTTTGTTAGAGGAATGCTTTTAATCATTTTTAAAACTTTATTCAACAGCTTGCAACCTTCTTCTTGGATGCATTACACCAGATAAAATTTACAGTATCACTTTTATTATTATATAGCAATTAAAATATTTTTAAAGTTATATGTACATTGTAACACCTCATTTGATTAATAAAATGAGAATTTGCATGCATGTAAGTTAGTGTATGGCCAGAATATTTCTGTTGTGCATAGTTTCTTTCATTACAGCCAAAACATGGCTTCCACATGTAATTTCTTTTCATCAAGACATTTTTCATGGTACTATTTTTATACAATTATACATTACTTTCAATTTTTCTTCATCTTTTCAATTTTAATTAACATATGCTCATTAGTTAATTGCATTATTGAATCTGTTCATTTGATTCCCTTCCCCTCAGTGCCAAATGTCATCTATTCGATTACCAACTGAGCAACCTAATTGTTTTTCTTTCAAACACCATTTTTTTGCAATCAAAAAAAAAAAAAATTACTGCTGAGCAAGGAAAGGAGTTACTTCTGATTTTCCCCTTTCTACATGCGCCTTTAAAGTTTTTAAATGAGACAACTTCATTTTCCTGCTGCATGTCATTAATGTTGCATATGTTTAAAAATGGGCCTTAAGATTATTTGTATCAAATCAAAACCAGCACCTGTTAATAAACCTAAGCATAGTTAATTTAAATATACTAATAATCCAATAGACATGGCATCAAAAGCTATTTTTTCTTAAAAATTGATGTACTAGTATGAGGAGAGTCTTTTGTTACTTATTATACCCTCTTAAATATCTAAACAAGAATTTGATTTTCTGAGTAGGTACTACTTACTATAAATTAGTGTGGCTTATACATTTTAAGGTATAATGGTAAATAATTTCTCTCATTATACATTAAATATTTCTTAAGTATATATAGTTTCAAATCTTATGTTGAGGCCATGTTTATTAACACAGTATCTATGTTCAAATCTGATAAAGGAATAGAGTGTTTTTTAGGTCATTAGAATGTCTAGTAGCCAGTTAGGACAGAGTAAAATATACAAGAAGATATCACTTGAATGAAACTTAATGACTTTTTTGTGAAATTTGTAAGTAATTATAGCAGGACAGCCAAGAGCTATCAGCATGCTTTCATCAAGAATTGGTAAAGGTAATTTAGTTTACAATACATAAAAGAAACAAAATGTGTTTAGCTAATTTAGTGTATCAGGAACTGAATGCCTTGAATTAAATTGTTTCATTATTATTGAGCATTAGTGAACTATAAAATATTAGATTAAATCTTTAAAAGCTGTAGTATTTTCATATATATCAGCAGAGGAATAACCATGGAGGGATTTTGTTAGTTTGACTGGATTACATTATAATTAGTATTTGCCATTTCTTGATTTTTTTTTTTTTTTTTTTAATTTTTATTTTTCTTGTAAATAAATTTTATCTTATATTTCTCAAGAAGTTTATTAACAATATATAATATTGAATTTGGTTTGATTCTGTTGTAAGTGGATATTAAAATAATCTGATATCAAGGGCGTAGCTAGAGTTTCCCAGCGCCCGGGAACAACTGAAGAATTTGCACTCCTTTCTGTGTGCCAAGAATGGAAAACATTTCATTAAAATATTTCGTATCATCAATTTGGTGCCCCTTGGATGCTGCGCCGGGGACAGATGTCCCTCCTTGCCCCACCCCAGCTGTGCCACTGTCTGATATCTATTATGCATACATACTGGCATTTGAAATCCTTTTTATTCATTTGTGTAAATAAAAAATATTACTGTATATGTATTATAAAACAAAAATGGGATGATAAATGTGCTAACAGTTAAAATATTGCTGCATAAATGTTTTAATTTTATATACATATCAAAGACATAAAATTATAAAAATTGATGAAGGTAAAAAAATTTAGTATTTGGGCCTTAAAAATTTCAATATTTATAATATTAAATTAATAATTACAAGTAAAATTTGAGATTGCCATTTTTATTTTTAATATTATGAATTCAGGATTGAGTTAGTCATTCAGTTTTAGTAATAAAATCAGTAACAATTGAAAATTTGTGTTAATTTTGGTCTGTTTCATTTCATTTTAGATAACATATCCTCAGCTAGTTGCTGTATATTTGCATATTGTTTTGAAATTTTAATTCATCAATGAGAATCTAATATTTACAATAATCACCAGATTTCTGTTCTGTTGAGCTTCCGCTAGATTTCCTCCTGCAATCTGCTGTTGACAAACTTGATTTATGCCTAAAAGACAATTTTCCTGTGTCAAACAGCATAGTTTACATTCTTGTAGTCAGCATCAGATAATTATTTTAATTACTTTCAGAGAACTTAACATTAGTATACAATAGGTATTTTTTTTTTATTAAAGAAACAGTTTTAAACCTTTGAGCATTATGCAAAATTGGCCTTGAAATTTCAAACTTCACGAAAATATCATGAATAAGTGGTACTTTTTGCCAATAATTTCAAAATGATCCTCTCATTTTGTACCTTGACTCCTTTTCTGATATACATCCAACCAGAAATTGGATACGTCAAGAACTTGCAGAAATTTACATGTGTAACAAATTGGACAGATATCCTTCTAGACGAAATTTTATATCCATAACCTGTGGACGTTTAAATGACTTTTCTACCCTCTTTTTTTAGGGAGGGAGGGGGCTGAGGTAACTAATTTTGAAGAAATTTTTGAGACAATATACAGCTTTTTTTTTTTTTAATAAATTTTTTTTTTTCAATGACATTTTTTTTCTAAATTTTTAAACATAAGTTTCAGCTGTTCTTTTTATAACAGAAATAAGTTTCAGTTTTTCACTTCTTTCACCTGTACATTTTCAAAATCAATGTGTTAATAATAGTATGATGAAGACATTACTGTTTACTTTGTTGTACAAAGTAAAGGTAATACTATAAAAATCATAAAAAATTTCGAGTATCATATTTCAACGAAAATATCCCTTTTAACAATGTTTTTCCATGACATCTACACATACAGACAGAATAAAGGACTCTTTTTCCCAAAATGAATCATAAAATGGATTCAGAAGAAATTTTGTTTTTTGCAACATCTGTATATACTTACGTACGTATGCATGTATCGCTCATAACTCAAAAACAAGTAGCCTCAGAGCATTGAAATTTTGTTTATAGGACTGCTTTAACATATAGTTGTGCACCTCTCTTTTTGGTTGCAATCAACTATACCAAACATATATATATATATATCCACTCTGTTATCTGGCTCAGTGAGCTCAGGTTTTTCTTTTTATCCTTATGTGTTTGCAAATTGTGCATTTTTTGCTTTAAAGGTGATTGAAATATGTTGTACTTATGTTCTGGTTAAAGTTTTTATGCCTTTAGTTAATAATTTAGAATTATCAACAATTTGGAAAGTTGCTTAAGTGGTACTAAGCCTAATGAAACCACTATTTGTCTACATTTTCTTTTATTAAAATAGTGAATTAAGTCAGTTTGTATATCACCTTCAGTGTGTTTTTGCCACGTTGGACCAAATGTAAACCTTTAATTTTGTGCATTGAAAAATCTGTCTTCCTGTCTGCTGACCGAATTACTTGTTTTTTCAGAGAAACTTTAAATTTAATTGTAAAAAAAAAGTTTTTAATTGTATTTGGTGTTTATGCTTTCCTGTATTTTTCAGTTTTTGATGAAGATATTTTGAGTTTTTGTGTATTTTTGCCTTGCTGCGAAGTGAGAACTGAATTAATTGAATGAGAAATATGTATCGGTACTATTCTATTATCAGGGAACTAGGTGCAGAAATTTATGTGTGTTTGCATCTATATATGCAAGTATGAATGTACGTATGTATGTGCATATACACATATATGCATATACAGACGCATTCATACATTTCTAAATCGTGTCCCGATAACAGAACAGTACCTGTGTCTCTAATGAAATTCAAGGAAATAAGTTTAAATGAAATGCAGCAAAAATATTGTATAATTTAATAAGCTGTACAAGGAAGTCAAGTGATGTTCACATCTGATTGTTTAATAAAATTTTGTTAAAATTTAATTGTTAACTTATAAATGAAAAAAAAAAAAGTTTTTTCTACAAAAGTACTGAAATTGATTTTCCAAAGGAATGAGAAATAAGTCTGTACTTTTTTGGTGGAATTCTAGAGAAGACACACTAGTTACTTAATTAATTATGTGTATTATTTGCTGATTAGGTATAAATATAAAGTCAAAAAGAATTTCTAAATTCTTTCATGTTTGATTTATACTTAGCACAAGTTTAAACTTTTAGTTATAGACATGTGATGTTTTCTTCCTGTATATCTGAAGTTCCTGAATATATGAAATGTGTGAATTCAACAGTATTGCCAGAACTGTTTTCTTTGGGGAGTACATTTCGTTTTTTATTCTTTAGAGAGTACTTTCTGTTTATATTGGTCTTTTTATTTAGCTGTATTTTTGAGCCATTCTTTCTTGCCTGTTATATAAAAAAATGAATTATATATAAGGAATTGAATTATATGTAAAGAAATGAATATAAAGTTCTATATCAGGAATTGAATTATATGTAAAGAAATGAATATAAAGTTCTATATAAAGAAATGAATCATAATGCAAAGTTGTATATTGCATGTCACACTTTTTATATGCTTTTATTTTATCTTTCTCTGATTGTATCTGTCTGTACTTTCATCAGTATTTTATTTTTATAAGTTCAGAAAATTATTGGTATTTATAATAATTTTATTCAACAGTAATTATTAAATTTCCAATAACTAGAAACTCGCTGGAATATTTTTCCTGTTATTGTTTGTCATGGAGTTCCAGTTAAGTTTGTGGAAGAATATTATTGAGTGTGGATTGTTCATGAATTTTTTTCTAAGATTTATGGACATTAAATAAATGTCATATATTAAATAAATATATAATAAAGGCAGCTGAAAATAAAACTTGAAATGTAAATATTTAATTGTTAAAAAACTTACAACTTTGAAAATGTATTTGCAAAATATATGAATCGGGTTCCGCTTTCCTTCTGTGTTTCTGTTTTAGTAATGTAGAGATAAGGAATATGTATAATCCAATAATAATGTATTTAAATAGACCACAGTTTAAAATAGTATTATCCTTTTAACTTTTATTATTATTCTTTCAGTTTAACTCTTCATTATTAGAGTTAATAGCCGTTTTGAAATTAACTAAGTGCTGGAATACCATGCTTATGTGGCATATTAATAATAAAATTGATAAATTCTAAAAATATCAGCCCACGTAAAGGTTTCTAGGAGGACATTTGTCACATTATAGAGTATTTACCTAGCATATTGTGTATTTTAAAATTATGCAAAAAATTTAATTTCTTTCTTTAGGTATATGTTTATGGTCATAAATATTTTACATAATCTCTAAACTCACAAAATGTTTTGGTACTGGTCATCAATGCTGCAGTTCCCCATCAGTATCAGCAGTCAAAAGAATTGCAATGCTTTATGTGCATTTTTGAGTATTACATATATGGGAAAACAGCTAACCAACACATTGATATACCATGCACATATTTGAGTATAGGTAGATTTACATACCTTCCATTTAACCGTCATTTTGCTGAATTAAACTTTTTGATTGTAAAAATGTGAATATTGGTCATATATGGATTTTTGATTTTTGTTATAAATTTAATTATTTCCTTTTTTTTTTTTTTTTTTTTTTTTTTTTTTTTTTTTCAAAATGCTTTTTTTTTCTAATTACTTATGAAGAAAACTGTATCTGTGAGTTATAAAGCTAGTGAAACAAATGTTTTTTGCCACTTCACATCATTGCTAATGAGTTTAACACATTTCTTGGGGGGGGGGGCTGAACTCATTTTATAAAATTTTCAATTACTGTAATTTATTTTAAATTGATGACATTAAAAAAATTATTTAATCATTATAATGTTTAGTTTTTATTATTTATTTTTGCATTTAAAGGATATTGTTGGTATCAGAACCAATACTACTGACAGACTCCGTCGTCTTCGACTACGAATGAAAGCTAGTAATTATGATGCATATATTGTGCCAACTGATGATGAACATCAGGTAATTTGATCAATCCTTCATAATTTATTTTTATTTATCTATTATTAATTTATAATCTAATTTACATGCCTTTAAAGGAATTTTATAAGTATATTTTGAAATGAAATGCTGAAACTGCATAATCTGTGGAATTTAATAAGAAGCCTTAAAATATTCCAACATTGAGATTCAAAATTGTCCCATATGTCGGTTATGTTACCTTTTTTTTTTTTTTTTTTTTTTTTTTTTTTTCAGGAATAATTGTTAAAATGGAAATTATGAAATTAATTTCGCTAGTAATATATTTGAAGTGGGAAAAGAATTATTCAGTTAGTTATTTTTGAAGCAAGATTTCAGATTTAGTGGGGAAGTGGTTATTAAGATTGCTGTAAGAATTAAATACAGTCAAAAGTCGTTAATCCGGACTCATCGGGACTTCGGTGATTCCGGATTATCGATTTTTCCGGATTATAGATCATCAGTTTAAATCTGGTAAAATGGCATGCAGAAATTAAAAAATTAAAAATATGAAACCGTAATTTATGAAATAAAGAACAATTATGATCTAAAGGGTATCAGAATTTACAAAAAAAAAAAAAAAAGCTTAATAGTTATATGTTTACTTTATTAAACATTTCTTTCAATGTAAGTTGTTTAAATTGATTCGTTTTTTATGTGATAATACATTCTCTTTAATTCTATAAACAGACATAATTTCTTGTTCAGTTACAAAGTTCCGCTGTTCAAGTCCTATAATTGCTGTGCCTACCGACTAATTTGTCAATCGAAATTTTTTCGTTTTCAATAACCTCTGTCACTTTCTTCGCTATCGGAAGCGAATTATAATGACGAGGAATTTGATTTAAATCATATCAAAGACGGAGTACATCGAGATGAAATAAATACATTTAGTAAGGAATTATAAGCCAAATAAAATAAAAACATCTGCCCTGAAGATAAGGATAGTGCTGACATATCAACTTCCAATTCATTGCGCGCCGCAGTGTTAAAGATAAGCAAAGTTTAGATAAACAAAGGATATGCTTTTATCCATTTTTTGCAGCAATTCCACTTTTTGTTTAATTAACTTCGAAACATACTTTTGCTTTGTAGATCCTTTACATATTAATAAATATATATCAGAAATTCTATTTGACATAATCGAAAGTTCAAGCTTAATTTTATAAAATTGCTCTAACAGTCTGCAAAAAATAATAAGCCGGATCCAATTCGAAGATTAAGGAACAACGCAATCTGCAACATTAACTGAAATAGATAATTAGATAATTTTAGCTTAGCTTATACCGTCCGTTGTACATTAAATGCGCACTCGTAAATGTATTTTGCACACACGCACAAGCATATTCGCAGCCGTAAAGGTCTACGCATGCGCAGAAAGTTTGTAGCTTTAAGGTCCCTATTATAGATCATTCCGGATTATGGGTGTCCGAATTAACGACTTTTGACTGTACTGCATTGTAATATTTTTAAGCAAACTGCCACACAACACAATATATATGAAAAATGCTATTTTCAGCCTTAAGATTCCTGTTATTAAATATTTATTGTGTTCTATGCTATACAGCAGCTATTCTCAACCAGTGGTATGCAACAGAAAAATAGGTGGTATGCAGAGAAACAAAGTATTTTTAACTATTAATTTCAAATACTAAATAACCCAGCATCCTGTTTAAGTGTTTTCTCTAACACTCGTACATTTATGTGATCTGAGGTTTGTTCATTCTCAATAGCCGCTCATAGACTTTGGCAAACCGTTTTTATTTTCACAAATATTCTTTTAGCCACAGATATAACAAAATTTATCATAAATCATGTTTTTAAAAGGAGTAAATAGAAATGGATGTTGTATTTAATAGGTAATAAAAGTAAGTTCCTATAAAAATATAACAGTATATCAACAAAGCGGCCAATGAACTTTAGAGTTGATCGATTTATTAACATGTCTACAGTTTATATCGCCACCGTTTCCAGGCTCTTATTGCTCTATTTTCAATTATAATTCATTTTTTTACGTCCATCTGCAGTCTATAAAAACAGATATTTTGTCTTTTTGCTCATTTGTCTTCCTTACTTTTCTACCTGATTTGAGAATATCTTCATTGTTTTTTAAGAACTCGTAATATATTTTGCATTCAAATATTTGTGAAAAAATAATAAGACAAATCAGATTTTCAAAATGAAAAAAAAGGGTAAGAAAAAATTGATTATTCACAGGCGATAAATTCAGGACAATCTACTAGCACTAAGAATATTGAAAAGAAAAGTTAGTTGTAGAAAATATAATGAAAGTTATTTATCATTTGGGTTTACTTGGAGTGGAGATGAAATGGACTCTCAACCTCATTGTGTTGTTTGCAGTGAACTGTTACCCAATCAAAGTATGAAACCATCGTTTCTCAAAAGACATCTTGAATCTAAACATGCCAGTTTAAAGAGGAAATTATCAGAGCTCAAAAATAGTAAACAAATAATGAAAGGTTTTGTTACTTCAAGTGAAAAAGCTTTGGAAGCTAGTTAGTTACCTAGTAAGCCTAAGAATTGCCAAGACTGGGCAGACTCACACTATTGGAGAAAACTTTATATTACAAGCAGCTAAGGATAGCATTTTAACATTACTCAACAAAAAAAGCGTCCAATGAACTTAATCATATTCTATTATTAAATGATACAGACAGTCAATGAACTCACGAAAGGGCAAATTCCATAAAAGAGACACTTATTCGAATAACAAAAACACACTGAGTATTTCGCATTGCAGTTGGATCAAAGTACTGATATAATGAGCTTTATTCAGTTATTAGTTTACTTTCATTTCGAAGAAGATAAGGAAATTGTTGAAGCGTATTTATTTTGTGACTGTCTTCATGATAGAGCAATTGCAAATGAATTTTCAGAGTAACAATTTAATGTCTCAGAATACTAGTCTTGGAATAAGTGCATTGCCGTATGCATTAACAGATAAACATTCCTGTGGTCTTTTTTTAGAAAGTCGCACCTAAAACTAAATTTACTCACTGCTTCATTCAGCTTTAGTACCCAAAACAATCTCCGAAAGCCTGAAAATCATTTTGAATCAAGCTGCAAAAAATTTTTAATTTTATTAAAAGCCAAGTTTTAAATTTAAGAATATTTACGATTTTATGTCAAGAGATGGGCAGTGATATCATGAAAAGCTTTTTTTACATTCTGCAGTAAGATGGTTAATCCAGAGGTAAAGTTTTAAAGAGCATTTTTGGACTTTAATCAGTAATTAAAATTTTCCTCTGTGGTTCAAAATTTGAATTGCAAAATTGTTTATATAGTGAATTATGGTTGGTGCGTTTATCATACTTAGCTAATATTTTTGGAAAGTTAAATTAATTATAAATTTAGGGTTACAAGGACAAAGTATAGTTTACCATCAGAAACAAAATAAATGCAATGTTAAAAAACTAGCTAATAATCAAAGAGTTGGATAATAATATTTTGAGCTTTTTACCACTTTTAGAAAGTTTTCTAACCAAGAATAATTTGAAAATAAAAGAACAATTATCATCCTATATTAAAAATCATTGTTTTCCATTGATAAATAATTTCAACATGTATTTTCCCTAGGATTATCAAAAAGAAAATTGGATTAGAAATCCGTTTTGTTCTAATGTACCTAAAATTTTATCTCGTGAAGAAAAAAAACAATTGATAGTAATATCCTGTGACTGAACTCTTAAATGAAGATTTCAAAAATAGCACACTTGTTAATGTTTGGTTGAACCGAAAAAAAGAATTTGAAGGCATTTCAAATAAAGCTATTAAATTTTTAGTGCCTTTTTGCACAATTTACTTATGTGAATAAAGATTTCCATTCATCTTATATTTGAAAAATAAATACTACAGAACAAAATTAAAAGTGGATCCTAATTTATGGTTAAAACTAAGAGAACTAAGACACAAAGAAATTGATTTCCCCTAAACAGGCCCAAATTTCACAATAAATTTTAGAATTGAAGAATCGTAACTTAAATTTTGATAATTAAAATGGTAACCAATTTTTAATCCAATTTTTTATGTGTGCATATTTAATACAAACAGCCAATAGGATATGCAGATGGCAATGATATATCCATCTATTTATTCGTATTTTTATTGAAAAATTTTAAAATAATCGTAAAATGTACTGGTGGTATAAAGTTTTTTAATTTATATTTAAATAGTATGTGTTAATCAAAAGGTTGAGAACCGCTGCTACACAGTGTATGTAAAATATTATAATGAAACCATTTACAACATATGTTAAAATATAGTATCAGGGCCACTTCATCCTATAAACAGCCACTTCTGAAAGTGACCTGCATTTCTGAGAATATAAATGATCAGTATTGATATTAATATTGTTATTTTGTTAAAAATTATTTAGTATCAGTATTGATATCTATATTGTTTTCCTGTTAATTCTGTTATTGTTATTCTGTTTTCACTCTGTAAGCTGACTGATATTGCTGAATATTTTATGTAATTCAAATTATCTGATTTCACTATCAGGCTAAAATATGCTATGTATTAAATCAGTCAAGAAGAAGTAACAAATTACCTTTCTTCTAGCCCCGTTCACATGCATACTGTTATATAACAGCAGATTCTCCCCTTCCCCTGGCTTTAAAAATGCTGCAGTTTATCATTTCTAAATTTTTAATTTTATGCTTTTCGAGCATATAATTTTTCATTTAAGTTTTAATTCATTGTTAATGATATGGTATTGTATAAATGACAGACTGCTTTCTATATTGTTTATACTAATTTTTTTTTTCTTTTCGCATTTACACAGCTACATATAGCAAATAAATGCTCATTGATACCTCTAACATTCCAAGTTATGATATCATTAGTGTTTAATGTTGTTTTTATCTGCTAGTTCAGCCAGAAAATCATAATCTTTGAATCGTAGAATAATCAAAACAGACTTTAATATCTGCTGCATATAATGACTGCCTCAATAGCCCTTATTCCTTTAGTATAATGTGTAAATAAACTTGTTAAGAAATTAGCAGGTGTAGCTAAATATGTAAAAAAAAAAAAAAAAAACATTGATATCTAATATATCCAAGATCTGAAATTAATTTAACTTTGAAATTATATCGTTGTAAAATAAATCTAATCTTTCAATAGCAAATAATTTTAATATCTAGTACATATAATAAATACTGCAATTGCACTATGTGCTTTTATTATAAAACTAAATAAAAAATTTTTAGAAAATTAGCAGGAAATGTAGCATAAACTAGTGAGAAAAAAAAAAAAAAAAAAAAAAAAAAAAAAAAAAAAAAAAAAAAAAAAAAAAAAAAAAAAAAAAAAAAAAAAAAAAACAAAAAAAAAAAAAAAAAAAAAAAAAAAAAAAAAAAAAAAGAAAAAAAAAACAAAAAAAAAAAAAAAATGCATATGGAATTGAGAAAGCAATTAAAGAAAAAGCCTATATTAATTGCAAGTTGCATAAAAAGCTTGAGAACTGGAAAAGTAGATATTAAGTAGAAATAGTAAATGACAGAAAAGAGAAACTGTGTAGTTTTTATACCTTGGATTCCACCGATTATCTGTAGTAAATGAGATCTGTCTTTTCCTTTACTTTTGTTACTCTAAATCAGGGTTTCTTAAACTTTTTTCAGTCACGACCCCTTTTTATCATCAAGATTTTTTCACGACCCCCATGACCCCATAATATTTACAAAAGTTTTGTGGGACCCCTATAAGTATTGCGCAAATCCGACAAACAGTTGTGAGTAAACTTGTCGGTGAGTTTTAAAACTGTCATTTTTTCACTTTGTACTGTAATATACTATTGCAGTAGTTTTAGGTCATTATTTTCTAATTTCTAATTTTAAGACTAGAGCAGAAGCAAAGGGAAAATTTTAAATAAGTAAGAAAACAACAGACAAAAAAATGACAGCAGCGTCACGTGCAAAGCAAGCAAAATGAACGTTTATATCATAAAAAGAATGCATTGAAACGTTTTCATTTTTTTCTTTGTCTGTATTGTCTTATCTTTATCTATTTTCAGATACATTGTGTAAAAATATTTGGTAATTGTAAAATTGTTATATAAAGAAATGTCAAAACTGCTAAAATTTTTGGCGACCCCCTGCCGAAAATTTTAGCCCGTGACCCACAATTTAAGAAACCCTGCTCTAGATGGACAACAACCGACTTTAATGTTAGGTCATCAGCAGGTATTTATATTGATATGAACTTCAAGATAAAGATGATTAGGAGAAAATTATTTTCAATATGCAAGCCATTGATCTTAAGAAATGGACATTATGCTATAGAAAGAAGGAAGAAATCCCAACTGTTTACGTAAAGGAAGCAGCAAGCCATATAATCAAATTAAAACAAGCTGTAATTAAAGATATAATAAGATTGTTGATTACTTCGGAAAGGTGAAACTGTTTTAGAAATGAATGTGATCAACCAAAAGATAAGTAGGCAGCTCATTGAATGAATCTGAATTTTTCCGAGTTTTCAAAAATACAACATTCCAGTAAAATTTTTTGTGAGAATGGTATTAAGCAATGAAACAATCAGGGGACTTTGCAGAACATATTTAAGTTATTTGCTATTATCAATTTATGGATTAAGATAATGTATTTTATAAAATTTTTATGTTCAGTTTCAATTAAGGAAAATTCTGAAAGACAGCTAAAATATGCTTTACCGAAATTGGTATTTTTCATATTATCAGTATGTAGGGATTTATATTTATTTTAACTAACAATTTAAATTTTAAATTCAAACTTTTCTATAAGCCTTCATTCCCCTAATTGTCAGTGCCAGAATAGTTAAATGTTGTAGTGTGCGTGAAGGAATGCAAATTTCTACTTTGTAGAAAGTATTTAAAAGCCACAACCTCTGCCATATGTGTGTTTGCTTATTGCTGGTTCAAGTGGTTAATTTATTTGCTGCCACTAGCTGTGAAGGGGTTTAAGTTACTGGATCCCGCTGAGCCCTGTAATCTAGTTCTATCATTTGTTAATATCTTCAAAATTTTTAGTTTAGTTATTTGATTTTCTGTTACCACCCAATCAGAGGTGAAGTTTGTTAGAATCAAGTTGAATCATTGTAAATTTTCAAAGATTTAAATTCTACAAGTAGAAAGACTCTACAAGTAGAACACTTATTTTTTGAAATACTATTGCTCCTTCCATTGCACATTAAGCTAGGACTTACGTATATTGTTACTGTAATAAGCAGAAAGAGCTATATTGAGAAAAAAGTATTCCTACCCCAAGTGACATTAAATTAAAGAAGGTATATTTGTAGGAGGTCAAAAAAATATTTTTCGATCAGAAGTTTCTTCAGCAGTCAAATCTTATTGGAAATGCTATATGATAATTCAGCAAGAAGTTCTACGGAATTAAAAAAATTGTAAGCAGAAAACTGTTAAAAAAATCATGCTTTTAAACTCATAAAAAGTGATACATTCCAATATTTATTTTTAAACTATCTTTTTTACATTCCAAACTTAGACGTTTTCCTCCTAACAGTCTTCAAGCCATGAGCGACGAGTATGGTGAGCACATTTATAAGGAAATGTTTGATATTGAGAAAAGATATCAGAAATTCCAACATGCTTGCTGTCTTCTACTGAATCCTTCAGAGACTTTATTCCCCCCTCCCCCATATTAAATACAGCATATACTCATACTTTCAATCTATACATGAATTCCTTTCTCAATTCACAGATGAATTTATGCACATGCAGATTTTAACTGTGTATCACAAATCCTTTCCAAATATAAAAATTCCAGTTGCATATTTAAATTCATTCTAAGAAATAGTTTGATTTGTGTGACAAAAAAAAAGTAAAATTAATGTGGTTAATATGTCAAAATATATCATCTTCAATAACAAAAAAATACCATGTTATGATTATCCTTGAATTATATTTGGATGGTATCCATAAGTCTAAAGAATGTAATTTTAAATCAAAATAATAGTGATGCTCATTTTATTTGATAACAAAGGGTGTGGGAAACATTATAGATTTTTCCTAAATATATGACTAATAGTTTTGAATACTACTTGTCTCTTTCGTTTAGAGTGAATTTGTAGCAGATCATGACAAAAGGCGAGAATTCATAACTGGATTTACCGGCACTGCAGGTATTAATTATATTTTTGAGTGTTCTTTTAATATGGCCACATTTTTAGAATTTTTAATAAATCTATATGTATATATTTCAGGTACTGCTGTTATTCTTCAAGATAAAGCTGCATTATGGACTGATGGACGTTATTTTATTCAAGCTGAAAAAGAATTAGATTGTAATTGGCTTTTAATGAAACGGCATCAAAGAAAATATCCATCTGTATGTGATTGGCTTATTCAGAACCTACATACTGGTGCACATGTTGGTGCTGATTCTAAACTTATAGCCTATAAACAAGTAACTTATTTTATTTTTCTGTAACTTAAAAAAAAAAAGTTTAATTCAAAGATTTATAAATTCTTGATTATTAATTTTATCCTTGATCTTAAAAGCTTATGAACAAAGTGGGGTATATTTAAGCAAGAAATGATGATAGTGTGAAAGAATTGTAATTTTTTTACAATAGTAAATACAATGTTAATAAAGATTACTAAATCATGGTTTTTGTTTCCAAAGACTGTGGTGGTGTCATTAACAAAGGAAGTTCTTTCCCTTGGAAATTTGATAAACTCCTGTAGGAATTGCTTTTCTAGGTCTTGCAATATAAGACACTTTTCTTTTTTTCCCCTATTTTCTTTAATAATTGAACATGACAAAGTTAATGAGAGGCTAGGGGAAAACATGACTTTATGGAGGACCTTCTAAAGGAAACTGGCTTATATTCACATCACTCATGGGCAAAGCCGAGCAAGCAGTTGATTGATTGATGTTTTGTAACTGACCTGATTTGTAAGCTAGTCTGACTTTTTATGCTGGCCTGATTTGTTTGTAACTAGCATTGCAACTTTTTCCAGTTGTATTCAGAAGGATTGAAATGTTCGGACAGGGCTGTTCAGTTCTTCCATCTTCATGTTTTCAAAACTAGAGCTAGAGCAAGCTATGAACTAGAGATCTGCCTACTCGAAAAGCTGCATAACCATATTGAAATAAGAAGATGGATGTAGTGTAAAATGTTGCCACATTCTGAAAAGCATATTAATTGTCATGGTAGGAGTAGACTTTACTAATCCAGACAGAGTTTTACAGGACTAAGAATGTCTAATCCAGATCAAGAAAAAACATCTGCAGTTCAAAATTTCATTACTGACAAATATTCTCTGCCAATCTGGAGTGCTGATTGCACATTGTGACCCACCACTTATACTTTTTCCTTCATGCATACTTCAGGTCTGATGTTTTTCCCAATATTATTAGCAATATCAGACATTTGTTACTGTGATCAGAGCTTTTCAAGCAATAGCATGACCTTAAAAATGTAGTGCAATCATCTTCTTACAGATTAGTCTAATGGCCTAGTGGCCAAACAACAGGCAAATAAATAAAATCTTCTGACAGATAGATGTATAAATTTGAAGAGGTAACGTTGGATAGGGTCATAAAAGAGACCTTTACAGTGTAACAATTATTTATCAACAGGTTTAAGTTATACATGGACATTACGTTTAACTTTAAGAAAATTACAGACAACCTAACTGGTTAAACACTTGTCTTTTACTGAATTACTTCTCTGGCTAGTCACCAGAGGGCACCCTTGTTGTTACAGTTAGTCCAACAGTTTATATTAGCATCAGAGCTTATATTTAAGGGTTGGTTACAAACTCTCCCTCTGGCTCCGCCAACGTCCCGGCAAGGAGAAAGAACTGGAAGATTTGGGAGCTCTTGTAATATTGTCCATAGTCTCAGGTTTTTTGTTTTCCTGTGCAAGGGGATCTCTCTTTGAAGCACTGTCTGGAACCACAAGTTCTTGATTAGATTGGATGAAGAGCCGATTCAATCCCTCCCAAACCACCAAACACAAACTCTTGACCAAACACCACCAACACGACTGTCTGATAAAAAAAAACAAAAAAAAAGAAAAAAAAAAAAAAAAAAAAAAAAAAAAAAAAAAAAAAAACCAAGAGGGCAGGGAGGTTTAAAAAAAAAAAAACATGGTTTTCTTTTTAAACAAAAAAAAAAACGGTTTTAAAAAAAAAAAAAAAAAAAAAAAAAAAAAAAAAAAAAAAAAATTATTAAATAAGGAGGGCAGAGGTACTTTCTTAAGCCAAGTGGCCAGGTGGTGTATAAAGATTTGATGTCTATTTCCAAATTATATTCCAAAATACAGCTATGAGAGGGAGATTCCTGCATGGTTTCTTTTACAAAAAAAAAAAAAAAAAAAAGAATTCACAGGGCGTCTTAATGCTTGTTTCATGTGGTTTCAAATTCACCTTATCTGTAGGTGTTTATATATCAGGAACCCTATTATGCCAGAGAGCCCTTTGTATAGACGGGCCCCTGATCGAAGCTGATATAGGGAAACCCAAGGAATTTTTTTCTAGGGACAAAAAACACCAGACATCTTCCCAGGAAGTGAAAAGGTGTTTCCTCTTCTTTTCCACAAGCTGGGAAGAGAGGAGATTCAACAAGACCACATTTGTTGAGATGCTTGGCCAGATAAGCATGTCCGGTAACAATTTGAATTACCTGATGTAAGTTAGTTCTACTGAGGTGTATGAGTTTACCTGATAAGTTAAGTGTACTGAGCACCAATTTAGAATGAGCACAGTCTGGTAGTTTAGACCATATATCAACATGTTTATTCTTTATCCAGCTTCTTACTTCTTTTTTAACAGTTTGATATGAAACTGGGTAAAATGGTTCTCGGCCATTTTACCCATGGTAGACATGGGTAGTTGCGAAGCATCTTTAGCTATTTTATCAGCTAGTTCATTTGCAGCAAAATCACAATGACCTGGACCCAAACTAAATTAATGGTGTTATGGGCCTGAGGCAGAGAAGTTGAGATCTTGAGTACAGTTCAAAACAGTTTTGTAACTTGATACGATTAGCCAGGGCAAGGATGGCTGATTGGCTGTCAGAGAGAATATATATATTCTTATCAACCATATTTCTAGCTAAGAGCTCCCTGGCGACCATATTGATCGCCAGAACCTCATCTTGGAAAACAGTTGTTAGTTTACCAAGGTATATATGAAATCTCCAGATCCTTTGGTTCTTATAATAGCTCCAGCTCCGGTGAAGTTGGATTTTGATCCATCTGTGTAACGTTCAACTGATCCTGTTGGAATTAGATCAATTAGAGATTCTATCTCATTCCTTTCTGGTATATAAGTTGAGAATAGTTTATCTGGAACTATTGTATTAGTAATTGCATCTTTGGGCATATAGATTATAGGGATCTCATTGCCCAAGTCCAGGCAACTTATACATAGCTTCAACTTATACATAGCTTTAATTGTTTCTCCATTCAAGAATAATTTCAAGGGTGGAATTTGCAATAAAAATTCTAGTGCAGCAGTAGGGGTACTGCTTAAAGTCCCACTAATGCATATTCAAGCAAGTCTTTGCATCTTTTGTAAAATGTTTAAATATGTGCTTTTGTTAATAACATTGAACCAGATCACGCATCCGTAAGAAAGCATTGGCCGGTGTATAGCAGTATAAATCCATAGAGTAGATTTTGGGTTAAGGCTCTCTTGTTTACCAACAATTCGCCTGCAAAGTACTAGTACATTTGTGGCGGTTTGTGCCTTTTTTTTTTATATGGGTGATCCATGGTATATGGTTATATGGGTGATGTTATAGTATAACTGTATAACTGCCATCTGGTCACATAACCGATGAGAGTTGAGACTCCTGAGACCTCTTAAGAATCTTATGTACTCTGGCAGTCTCATGGTAGGACAGATATCTGTGCAAAAGGATCTCCATGAGTTGTATTTAGTTTTCCTGATTTCACTTTTAAATTTTCTTTGTAAAATTTTAAAGTTAGACCAGTTAACTTCAGATTTATTTCTGACTGCTTTCCTGTGACCTCTCCAAATCTCTAGGCGAAGGCTTTCAAGCTCAGTGGTCCACCAGACTCTCTTGCTAGAAGAGTACTTTTTTTGTTTTAGATGACATGATGCATGATAAGATTCAATAATGATATTTGTCAGGTTGTTTGCTTGAGTTTCAGGCTCCTCGACTGAACAATTGTTATCTAAAACCTGAAGGTTAATGGCATTAGAAACCAGGGAGTCCTTATAAAGGTCCCAATTTCTGTTTTTAATGTTTCTGAAAAAATCAGCTGGAATTTCATCTCTAATACAAAATTGTATAAGGTGAGAGTCAAAAAGTGAGAGATTGTCACTTACATGCCATTTCTCAATAAGGTTATAAATATTAGAAGAAGTTCGTGTGAGGTCAATGACTTCTTCTGTTGACAAAGGTGGGGCGATTTTCCTTGTTTACCCAAGTTAGGTTGGTATTCATTATAAGTTCCATGAGTTTTACTCCTCTAGGAATGGTGTCAGAACTGCCCCATGATAGGTGGTGAGCGTTAACATCACCACCAATAACCATAGGAATATTGTTTATTTCACAGAAACTCACAAGATCTATAAATTCTTGTGGAATGTTGAGGTCATAAGCCATGTAAACCGAGCAGACCATTTTGTCGACAGAAAGTTTTGTCGTCTCTTGGTTTTGTTGCTCGGTGCTTCACTAAATTCTAAAAATTCTGCTACACCAGCTCTGATATTGGCTCTATAGTACTCTTTTATGTTTGTGTACATGACATAGATTTATAAATTTGTTCAGTAGCGGCTCATAATAAGCACTGTGGAACTGCAGCACCCCATATTTCCACTTATTATTATTTTTAATATTTAATATAGTGTGCCCTTAAGTCTTTAATTCTTTCTTTATACTTTTACAATACATAATCCTTAAGCTTAATGTCAGTTGCCATACCTTACTTTGTGAAAAAGGTACGAAATTCTTTGGAACTGCACGCTTCACAGTTCCAGCAACGTGGTGTTTGGCTGTAACAGAGAAAGCATACACAGAAAGCAGCACCCGAGCCTGGGCAGCAGAGAATAACACTGTCGTCTTGCAGTGCCTAAATTCTGGCATGTTGTTTGGAAACGTAATTCTTTTACTCCACGCGTGTGGTATTCCTCCTCAAGGTGGAACTTCATCATACGGACCATAAACAAAGTTCATGAAAAATTGCAACCTTTAAAAATTGCCTTACTGAAATTCAATCAACTACAAATGCAGAACAAACTATTGCAAAAGCAACAGGAATTTAAAAAAAAAAAAAAAAAAAAAACCTATATGATGATAATTTCAAGTTTTGGTTAGAGCTTTTTCATCAGGTGCCTCATGTTGAAATAATATACAACTAAATGCAATCCAGAGAAATTAGTGTGTTGTTTAAAGTTAACGAATATATAACAAATTTCAAAACTGCTATTTTAGAATTAAGAAACTCAAAGTACTGTGAGAATTTTTCAAAGACACTGATGGCAGAAGCTAAGGAAATATGTGACTTTATGCTATTATTGATATAATGCACAGATATTCTTCCACTAAACACTTAGCAGCTGCTAAATTGTTAAACAAGAAATGCTTCGCTAGTTTTAGGAATGAACATTCTACAGAAGAAATAGTACTGACCACTGAAGCATATTTAATAATTGACAAAGAAAAGCTTGAAACTGAACTAAAAGTATTCTATTGTAGGTCTGATATCCATGAATACTGCAAATTAATTGAGCTACTGAAATTTATCTCTGAAAATAATCTAGATGATGTTCTTAGAAATTACAAAACAGATAAAAATTCTCTTGAGAGTTTCCATGATTACATCAGAGGCAGAATGCTGCTTTTCAACATTTAAAAGAATGAAAAAAAGAAGCACTAGGAATTCAGCAAGACTAAATGTGCTTGCATTGCTTTCAATAAAGAAAAATTTCCTCAGTTGTCATCTAGAGAGCAAGGAGAAAATTATTGATCTTTTCGCACAAATTAAAACAAGAAGAATGGATTTCATTTTTAAATGAATAGACAAAGATTGAACTGTAACAATTTTGGTTAAAGTAATTAAGAAATGTTTAATTTTTTCCTTGTAAGATTTCATGACGTTTCAAAATAAATTTTCTTTTTATACATGTTTATTTCCTTTTAGACAATTTTAAAACAAAGGTTAAATTTTTTTGGAACAGCACCCCCACTAATTTTAGCCACAAGCCGCCACTGAATTTGTTCATGCTTCTTATTGTATCTTCTTGAAGGAATTTATGCTTCTGAGCAGTGTAATTTGTTAAAAGAAATATTTTATTCTGTGTGGTGAAGCAAGGTGCCGATTCTTTTCATTGTTTGTGTGTTTTAACTTAATTCTAATCAAAATGAAATACCTATTTAAGAATATTTTAAATAGTATTCTATTATTATAGGAGTGTTGAATTTTAATTTGATAACCATTCCTTACATATATACTGCATTTATGCAAGTCAGTTTTGATCTTTTGTGCTCTTAGTATAAGTATTAAAATACTTTGAGGATTAGGTTTATAATTTGGTGAAAATCCTGTATTTGGGATATCAAGATATTCTTTCAGTGCAGATAGAATCTTAAAGTAATACGTTAGATGTCATCTAATGTGAAAGTTTCTTTAAAACTAATTTTTATATTGCAATTTTTCAAATTTTACTGTTGTAATTTTATCTTTGGATTTAGCCTGTACGAGTTAAAAGCTATATGTTAATTGACTCTTATTATACAGTCAAAAGTCGTTAATTCGGACACCCATAATCCGGAATGATCTGTAATCCGGACCTCAAAGCTACAAACTTTCTGCGCATGTGTCGCGTTGACGCATGCGCGTAAGACCTATACCGCTGCGAATTTGCGTGTGCGCGTGCGCAAAATACGTTTACGAAAGCGCGTTTAATGTATAACGGACGGGATAAGCTAAGCTAAAATTATCTAATTATCTATTTCAGTTAATGTTGCAGATTGCGTTGTTCCTTAATCTTCGAATTGGATCCGGATTATTATTTTTTGCAGACTGTTAGAGCAATTTTTTTATAAAAGTAAGCTGTTGAACTTTCGATTATGTCAAATAGAATTTCCGATGTATATTTACTAATATGTAAAGGGATATACAAAGCGAAAGTATCTTTCGGAGTCCATTAAACAAAAAGTGGAATTGCTGCAAAAAAATGGATAAAAGGCATATCCTTTGTTTATCTAAACTTTAACGTTTTGTTTATCTAAATTTTAACGTTTGTTTATCTTTAACGCCGTGGCGGCGTGCAATGAATTGGAAGAAGTTGATCTGTCAGCACTATCCTTATCTCAGGGCAGATGTTTTTTTTTTTTTATTTTTATTGGCTTATAATTCCTTATTAAATGTAGTATTTTCATCTCGTGTACTCCCATCTTTGATATGATTTAAATCAAAATTCCTCGTCATTATAATTCGCTTCCGATAGTGAAGAAAGTGACAGAGGTTATTGAAAAACAAAAAATTTCGATTGACAAATTAATTAGTCGGTATTCTCGACACAGCAATTATAGGACTTGAACAGCGGAACTTTGTAACTGAACAAGAAAATTATGTCTGTTTATAGAATTAAAGAGAATGTATTATCACATAAAAAACGAAGCAACAACTTAAACAACTTACATTGAAAGAAAGAAATGTTTAATAAAGTAAACAAATAAATATTAAGCTTTTTTTTTTTTTTTTTTTTTGTAAATTTTGATACCCTTTAGATCATAATTGTTCTTTATTTCGTAAATTACGGTTTTCATATTTTTAATTTTATAATTTCTGCATGCCATTTTACCAGATATTAAACTGATGATCTATAATCCGGAAAAATCGATAATCCGGAATCGCCGAAGTCCCGACGAGTCCGGATTAACGACTTTTGACTGTATTTTAAAAGCTGAGAATTATAAACTGTATTCCTCCAAGCAAGTTTTGAGCTCTTTTTCAGAAACAGAAACCTTGAACAGAAAATTCATCATTTCCTATTTAAAGTTGATGAAGAATCTTGTGTCGTTTAAAATTAACCATGGGAATCTGTTTTAATTCTGTGATGCCATTTTATAACATTATTTAAGGTCAGTTGCCTTCTACATAAGAAAACATTCATTATCTAACATAGAGTAGCAGCATAAAATTCTAGAGGAGTTCTTATTTTCTTTGTTTTGGGAAATTTTCAAGTCAGCTGTAATTTTCAGTTATATGTCATCAAGATTTCTATTACTTTTTAAATATAAAAAAATACTTTGGCGAGATTTGGAAACAGTTTTCATCTTCATTTACTTTCCATATTACATGTATTTTTGTTCAGATTAATTTTCTGAGATTTTCCTGTGATATCTTTTCTATCCCTGCATCTTTCTTTGCAGCTGGTAGAAATAGTGGGAGGAAGTTTCTTTTTGGTACTCTGTTTTATTTTGGAGTTGACCAGTAAGCAGTTTCATGCTTCATTTGCCTTCATAGTGCACAAAATAATTATTGTCTTATATTTTATAATGCATAAAATAGCAATTGCCTTGGAAAATATAAGTTCTAAAATCCAGTGAGTGTATAGCTTCAATGAAATAAGTAATCAAAGGCAATATATTGAGGATTTATATATTTTGTTTGTTTGCTTGTGTATGCATGTATATATGCATATTACGTATCATGAGAATTTCTGTGAATGCTTATTTTAAATATGAGTGAATTGTAAAATAATTTCACAGTTTCTTTTAACAGTGGCTACATCTGAAAGAAAAGCTTGAAAAGTCTGGCATTAGTTTATATGAAGATGACAGTAATCTCATTGATGATATTTGGAATATTCCTCAAGGACGTGCTCCAGAATCAGTTTCTCATATTTATATACATGATTTAAAATATGCTGGTAATATATTTAGAATAAATAAATAGCTTTTAGTTAACTACTAAAAGTTTTATGTATTGTATCTCTCTTCATCTCTTTTGAAATTGTATATGCTTTGCAAGTTTCTTCTTTAAATTAACTGAACTTCAGCGAAGTTGTTGTTTATTCCATCTTCTGTAACAATTTTATGCTTTATAAACATATATTTGTCGGCAGTTTCGTTTAAATTATGAAATTTTGCACAGAAGTCGGAGATATTGGCCACAGATATGTATTTATGTATGTACATATACATGTGTGTATGTGTATACACCCACGTGGATATATATATATATATATATATATACTCACTGCATCCACCCAACCTTAATTTTTGGAACTGTTGATCATAGACATACATGTATAAAAATGTTTTAAATGATGCTGATGAATTTGGCATTTTTAAAATTAGAAAAAATAATCAATTTTTAAAAATTATGAAATTTAACTGTTTATACATTTCTAGGGTTTTTTACTTATATGTAGAAAAATTTTACACTCATTATAAAAAGCACAATATAAAAAATGTGCCAGTCATATACCAAAAAAATTTACCTTGATATTTATTTTTAACACTAGGCATCATATTCAGGGGCTGTACACAAATTAAAGAGTGATGTGTTTGCATTTGTATGTAGCTAACAATAAAACATCAGTTTACGAAAAGATTTCTGATATCAATGTATTAAATGGCAGACATTTCCATGCATGTTTTTTTTTTTTTCCCTTTGCAAAAAGTATTGAATAGAGGTTTTTTTTTTTTTTTTTCCACCCCTCCAAAAAAAAAAAAAATCTTGCTCATAAAATCTTTCAGAATTCTCGAATTCTTGTAAAAAACACTGCTATTGTCATATTGCCAATGCATAATGTTACTTGCCTAAATTAAAATTATTTCTAGTTTAATTAGCTTTTGTATGATTTTTAGATCTAAAGTAATGAAATTGCATAAGAATATTAGCAACATATTTTGAAACTTTAAAATTATTTGTGCAAAAATTCTTTTGGCATGCCAGTGGTGACAAAAGTTTTGATTTCTAATTTAATATTTGTTGTATGGGAGTCAATTTTTTTGTATTATGCTTTTTATAATGAATATAAAGTTTTCCTTAAGTATAAGTCTGTGACCAAAAGATTGTATAATAAATTATGTTTAGTATTTTATATTTTTTAAACTTAAAAATGTAAAAACATGGATACTTGGGTCATTTAAAACTTTGGTGTAACTGGAATGTATTATGTCTACATCCAACATTTCCTAAATTAAAGGCCAGGTAAGGAGTTTTGAGGAAAGCAGTGTATATGACAATTTTAGAAAATGGTTTTCTAAATATTTGTTGTATCTTCACTTTTGTTTTCTTTTCTCCTTTCTATCGCAGGCTGATCTAGAATTTCTGTAATTTATTTTTCTTCCTTGATAGATGTTGATAATGTTCATATTTCTTTCAGTTTTTTCTCTTCTTTTCCTACCTTCACTTCTATTATACACCAGTCTCAATTTTCAAATGCTCTCTTCATTTATTGTTGTTAACATATCAGTGCCTTTTTTCTTTTTTTTTGGGGGGGGGAGATAAAATTCTTAAAAAATGCTCTTCCTTGTTTGAATTTTTCCTCTTTTTTTTTTTTTTTTTTTTTTTTTTTTTTTTTTTTTAAATTCTGGCTTATGTTAATGCTTAAATATGATAAGATTATCTAATATTTGATGCTTAAATCTGGTGTTTAAAAAAATCTAGACTAAATGTAAAATATGTTTACATTATTCATTATAAATAACAACTATAGTTACAAACAGTGAACGATGGATACACTTGTACAGTATCCATATTTATTATATAATTTATATATATTTCTCATGCACACAATATGCAGCACTGAATCTGATATTATTTCTTTATCAGTTATTATGATGACATTTATTTGTGTTATTTAAAATAATAAAATTCCTATTCTACATTGTAAAATGTTTGTTAATTTTTTAATTTAACTATATATATTTTTCCTATATTGAAGCCTAATCCTTCTAAAATTATGAATTTTAAATATGTGTTTTATCTGTCTATTGTTTATTCTGACACTGCATAATCTGCTGTGTCTTTTAACGCCATTATTAAATATATATATTGAAAGCTGTATAAATCTGAGTAAGGACTTTTAGAGTTTGTAAAAGAATGCTATTAGCCCTTAAATTATATGGGGTTCTTTGAAATGCTAGTACATCATGCAATTTTAAATCAATGTTTGATTTCTTTCTTCCCAGAAATTTATTTATTAAACACCTTTCACTAACTGAATTCCTTCCAAATTTACATGGTCTGTTTGTTAATGCAGTAGTTATGCATTTTGAAAAGGGCTGATTTATTTTTTCGTTGAAGTTGTGAGCAAATATAAGGCTTGGCTGCCTACCAAAGGAGCATTTGCAGTAAGTTAAATATAAACTTTAATGGGTGCTTTGCTTGTCGTTAACAAAACCAGTGAAAAGGATATGTCAACCTGTGACACGAGGAAAAGCATAACTTGAAGATAAATAATTGGCAATTAACTTTACTGGTATGCCAGTAGGTACTTGGCTGCAACAATTCCACACAATATTTCATATATGTGCTGTCTTGGACACTCTGCTAGATTCATATTGCTATTCTAGTCTTCAACAGCTCTGTTGCATGACAGGATTCCATGCATCACATCGCTGCAACACACTGGAGAGAATCACAGTTATTAGCCACAGCAGTGATCAGAACCACACACAGCCTGGATAGGCACATTGGGAAGACCCATACAATCTTCATACTTTGCACACCTTCTACCATGGGACTGTATGGGTTGAACTTTGTGCTTCTTCAGCATTGCATAGCCATAACGAAAAATGCAAATTTCTCAACACTGTTCTATGCAGAGCTGAAAAGGGAATAAATTAGAAAAAGCATTTATTAGTTAAAAGTTCGACATCATTTTCTATGTTTGTCCCTACCACGATTCTTTGTTAAGATAACAGTGGGAAATTGTTGCTGTAGATATATACTTAATGTCAGTTTCCTTTTTGTCATATAACTCTCTAATGTAATGAAAATGAGTATCAGTATGTTTTGTTAGAAAGTGATAAACTCTATTTTTCACCAAATATTGTGTATTTTGATTATCATTACATAACACAGTTGGTTCTGTTATCTTCTCTGAAAAACCTAGCTCACTTAATAGCAAACACAAGTACATCACTTCTTTTGAAGCATCAGTTAACACTATGTATTCTGCTTCAGTACTTGGCAGCACTACAATCTTTGCTTGCATGATTCCCAAGAAATTCGAGCTTCTTGCTTGATATGAAACCATAACCGTAAAAGATTTCATGTTGAGAGTATTTTTAGCAGACTCCATGCCTGCATAACATTTAAGACTTTCATTTGTTTTCCAAAAGTTTTCTTCATATGCTTTACTTGAATCCAACGAAAGTATTTTGGACTACTGCTAAATTGACTAAATCTGGTAACAAAGTTTGCAGTATCAGGTCATGTACATATAGCTAAGTAAATTAAGGATACGGGTAAGGATTGATAATTATTTTTGTCCACACTTTCATTTTCGTTGGTGATATTTGAAGATTCATATAGTTTAATCTTAGGGTCTAATGATATTGATGTAGATTTACATTTCTTGCATGCTATACACAGCTAAGAGTTCTTTTATATTCCGAATTTGACTAACTGATACTTTTCATTTTGTTAAGGTCTAGACACTGAATGCATATTGTAGATGATTCAATTTTAGTTAGAAGTATCAAATTATTTACGTAAATAGCAATTATGATATAATCATCACCTCCTTTATGAACATTCAGTTATTCAGTGTCAACTTTTAGAATCTGAGTTTTTGCAGAGTTTCATCTAATTTTAGGTTCCACACTTGTCCTGCATTTATATGTCCTCAGATCGACTTTATGAGCTGGCAAACTATGCTTTCAGAAGTTAGGAAATCTGGGTGAGACATGAATAATGATCGATTTTCCAATTCAGATAAGCTCTTTGAACATCTGTTTGTTGATCAGATAAGGTTCATATTCTGCAGATAAAACAAGCAATGTTTGCATAGAATTGTAGCAAAATGAAGATGAAAAATTTTTTATTAGTCTCTTCCATACTTTTGGGAGCATCCTTTGGTGAGGAGTCTGCCTTTATACCGATCAGTATGTCATCTGCCTTGCTCTTTATTTGGAATACCTTTTTGTATCCAACAGCTTTGGTAAATTGTGGTAAATTGGTTTATTGCCATGTAATATTCCTCATTAAGGAACTGTATTCTTTTTGTGTAACTGCTCTCCATTTTCTACATCTAGTGTGGATAAAGCTTCTTCTATAGTTTCTGGATCTGCAGAAAATTCAGAGTTTACCAAATTAGCATGATTTTGCTCATAGACTTTCCTTGGTCTTCCTGGTTTTCCTGTTGTCAAAAATGTAGGTCTGTGCTCCTCTTTGAACCAAATTAGTATTATTTTGTTCATAGATTTTCTAGGTCTGCCTGGGTTTTCTGTTTTTAGAAATGTAGGTCCCTAGTCCTATTCCTGAACTTTGATCTTGAAATACATTTTCTTCAACATCTGCTCTTCCTTCACGTGCTACTTTGGAATTCTTGTTGGCTTCCGGATTTTATCCAATAGGGACAAATTCGATGAATTCATATTTCCCAGCTGTTGAAGTTTCCGAGGTTAACTTAAATTTCTGGCTGTTCCAAAAATCAAACTTTGCAACTTTGTATTACTTCATAAGTTCCGGATTTCCATAGACAGTATGCTTTTGATTACTTAGAATATCCAAGTATATAATAATCTTCACTGTGTGGGAGAAATTTATTTTTCCTGTTTGAATGGGTTAATGCAAAATCTTTGCTTTCTGTGACTCTGTGATGTAATACTATAAGCTTTCATTTAGACAAATCTGTTCAAGCGCTTTCCTGCTTTTTATAGCACATCGGTTATAGACGTAAACTGCTGTTGATACCATTTCTGCCCACAATTTTGTTGGTAATTTTGAGTTGAACGGCATACATCTGGCCATTTCAACTCGGATGCCATCCTAGTCTAAGAATTGATTAAATTCATGGCTTCTTAATTTTTTTTCGCATTATCACTGCAGAGTATTACCACTTGTTTTCCCGTTTGCTTGTCAACCTGAAATGTGTACTTCTTAAATGCTTTAAGGGTTTGTCGTTGATGAATGTTATGAAGTATTTTGCATCATCTGAAGATGTGACATTAATGGAATCACAAATACCTGTATGTACAAATTCTAGAATATCACAGTGTAACTGTGATATTTCACAGTTACTCTGTGTGCTATCGTTTTAGAGTGTAATACTTTAAAGTCTCCAAGATTTAAGTGACCACTCCTTTCATGCCATGTTTCGGTTTATTGTTTGGTGTACATTCTATAACAAAACAAATCGACGAACCAAGAAGGAGTTGTCCGATGGACAAAAAATTGATGGATAGGAAGATTATGTACAGAATAGAAAATGATTAATATTTCAGAGTTACAAAGTAACTAGTTCAGTAAGGTGTTGACCCATCTCTAGCCTGGATGCAAGCTGCCACACGGCGTGGCATAGACTGATAAAGCTCCTAGATGGTCTCCTGCAGTATTTTTTGCCAAATTTGCTCCATTTGTCGGACTAGGTAGATACAGTCGCCTTCCCATCCTATCCCAGACATGCTCAGTGGGGGAGAGATCTGGCAACCTGGTTGGCCAAGGAAGTGTTTGACAAGCTGTAAGACAGTTCATAGCAACACGTGCCATAGTGGCCTAGCATTATCTTGCTGAAAAATAAGGCCAGGGTACTGCAAAAGGAACAGTAGGAAAACAGGTCTCAGAATGTTATTGACTGGCCGCTGTGCTGTAAGTGTGCCTTCCTTAGCTTCTTAATGACGACCAAAGGGGTCAGGGCTATCAAGGGAAATGGCACCTCAGACCTTAACTCCTGGTTGAGGGCCTGTGTGGCGTGCAATAGTGAAAGCGGGATCGTCATGCTGCTCTGGGCGTCTCCAGGCACGTCTTCGATGATCGTCACGACACAGTTGGAAGTGGGATTCATCGCTGAAAGCTGTACATCCCCAGTCAGCATCATTCCAACCTGGTCGGGCCAAGCACCATTGTAATTTGGCTCGACAGTGTGCAGGCGTGAGTAGCAGATGGCGTAACAGTCAGTACGAGCATAGATTTCGCTCTATCAGACATCTGTGAATGCTCATGGTGGACACTCATGTGCGGGTCGCAGATGTGATGGTTGATAGCAATGAATCGGGCTCTGTGACAGCTGATCTGACAACCACTCTGTTCTCCCGATCTGTTGTCGCCCTAGGTCGACCACTACCATCGTGACTCTTAAATCTGCTATTAAACACCCATTCTTGCCAGCATCTTCTAATCGCCACATCGCTTTGACTCATATGACAAGCGATTCTCTGAGTTGCCCAACCTGTCTCTTTCAATCCAATGATACAACCTCTTTCAAAGTTTGGCAGTTGCTCGTGATGAGCTCGAATCCTGCGGCAAGGCATTTTTCTCAGTCGTTTAAAGGTATCCTAAATCGCAATGCAACAGAAATTTTTAACAACAGTTCAAGAAGAGCTCTTTATATACATCTGCTGGATGTGCAGTTCCGATGCGCTGGAGATCGCACTATTCATTCATTGGACACCAAATTTTAATCATTTGCATATTTGGTCAAAATACGAATACATGCATATGAACTTTCAAAGCGATCGGATGATCCCTTCTTGGTGCATTGATTTTTTTATCATAGAGTGTATTTGCATTACCCTTCTGCAGCATCTGAAACCTCGTTTTTATCCTCTTGATTTACAACATGTAGGCCATTTTGCTTCATTGGTTCTATAACTATAACTACGCATTTATTTTTGTATCTAACTCATGCATGGTTATTTCTAACTTACATGGTATATTTACATTGTGTTATTAAGTTAACAGAAATTACATTCATTTTTAGGTTGGGAACATATAATACATCATTAAGTGTTATGTGTTGTGAAGTTGAATTAACATTAATATAAATTTCAATTTCGCTTTCCCTCTGACTTCTCGAAATTCATTATTTGCTAAGTTCATGTTCTGTATCAGTTATGGTTGTGAATTTTCTGTCATTGAACATGTGTGCAGGTACTCCTGAATCAAGAAAATTCTCACGTATCCACAGTGCTGAGGAAATGCTGCTGCATTGTGTCCTTTTTACTTGCAGTTGTAGCAGGTAAAGGGTTTTGCATTGTTAGACTTCTCTTTTATGTTGCCATGGTAATTAGTAAGTAATGCATTTTGCACTTGGCAGTTTTCCAGCACTTTAAATTGGTGAATTTTAACGTGTTTAAGTCGGTCAATTTATCATGAGATTCTGTCAGGATCCTGAAATTTTCAAATTCTTCAGTTACAATATATAGAGGGAAAATAGTTAGGAATTCTTCTGGATTCTCGGATCCTATTTCTGGGAGTTTAATTACAATTTCAAAGAAGGAAGTTAAGTAATCCTTCACTTTTTCTTAAGGCTTATTTTAGTTACAGGACCTTTAGGTTGATGAATTTTGTGTGGTTTCATCCACACTTTATATAGCATGCGACATTTTTTAATTTGCGCTAATTCAGATTATTTCACTCTCAGAATAATAATTGCTAAAGCTTTTTGATAATTTGCTAACCATTTGCCGAGTTTGGCTTGGTTACTTGGTTAACTTAAAAAGTTTCTGGTTTGACTAATTATCCACTCGCAACTTCCGAAAGTTCTGACTGGATTAAAATCATTTTCACTTAGCAATCCCATATTTCAAAATTACTATTATCCAAATTTTCAACCAAAAACACAGGGTTTTGATTTACTGCTTAGACATACATCTCCAATGGACTTCTTGAGCACCTCTTGAAACTGGGCTTCATAATATCTCAAATTAAATTTTTGAGTAATGCATAATGTGAGACTTGGTTGAGTACCAATAGAGTATACTTGCGGTAAGTTAACTTTTAAGAGTGGTGTCCTTGATCTTAACAAAACCAATGAACAGGATATATCAACCTATGCTATGAGGAGAAACATAATATCAAGATGAATACCTGGTGATTAATTTGAGTGGTAGGTCAGCAGGTACCTGCCTGCAACAGTTCCATTGATATTTCATATATATGCTATATGGGACTACATTCCCATTCTAGTCTTTGACAGCTCTGTTCTATTACATGCATCACTTGTAATAGAATAAAGCATCACATTGCTACAACACTTTGGAAAGAATCACAGCTACTAACCACTTCGATAACTTAGTAGATACCCCATATAGGCACACTGGGACAACACACAGTCTTCACACCTTTCTTTGCTTCTAGCATGGAACTTTGTCTCTTCAGTACTGTGCAAAGACAAGGGAGAATGCAAATTCCCCCCCCCAAAAAAAAGCAAACGTACTATGTAAATACAAATATTTCTGTCAAAATAAATATTATATATATAAATTTTAATTTTTAAAATTAGAAATTGGGAATTAAAAAATACTTACTTTTAAATCACAAAAAATATCTTCTGTACTTATAGGAAGAACATGGGAAGAAAAGATTAAAGATCTTCGAGATACTTTTGATCAAAAAATGGTTGATGGACTAGTGATACCTACTTTAGATGAGATTTCATGTAAGTGGTAATTTTATTATATCACTAATATAGCAACAGAGTTTACTTCAAATTCAGTGTTTTTTTTTAATGCTGAATATAATGGAATATTATTGTAGAAGTGTGTAGAATTTAAATATTTATTATTTATTTTTTAATATACCCTAATTATTTGCCCACACAGATTGTGAAATTTGTTAAACAGTGAGTTTATTTTAGCTTTATAAAGAGTAATGATGTGCAGCATTATTTTTATCATAAAGAAGGCCCTATAAATTATGTCATTTTTTGAAAAATATGTGTCATCAGTATGAGAGTTAAATCAAATTATTCAGTATTAATACAGCAACTTGTCATACTGAAAAATATTTTACTTTTAGTTATACGTCTGTAAAATTAATAAACCTCTTTTTATAAAGAATGAGTTTAATTCTTTCCTGATTATAATTGTGTAAAAATCAGAAGCACATTGTATTTTGTTACAAAAAAAAAAGTAAATAAAAGCAGTTGTTAATTCACATCTAAAAAGTCCTTTAATCTTGATCATTGTTTAGTAAATATTTGTGATAATAATGTGGTAGTATAATAATGTGATATCCCTCATTGATAGTCTTATGGAATTAAATTAAACCAAAAGCAGTTGCTTTGCTTTCAGATTATTGCTGAAATCTATTTGGAATTGCCTCTGGATTCCAAATCGTAATTTAATTAATAGCAGTGCGTTTGTTTACCTGGTATTTTGTGCAGTGAACCGAAGTTTTATTGGTGGTTCATCAATTCTTTCAATATTTTTTAACGTTGTATATTCATGAATATTGGAATTAGTCTTTTGATTTGGATTTAAGATTTGAGCTTTTACAAGCTCAAAGCCAACTGATTTTATTTTATGAAGAACTTGTTGAAGAAGATAATCATGTCCCCCCCCCCAAGAATAAGTGTCTCCATCTTTTGCTCGAAATTAGCATTGCAAGATTAATAATTTGTTTTATACTTTATAAATATGTACTTCAAATTTTTTCAAGATGATGAGTATGCCATTAGAATTTAAGTACAGTCAAAAGTCGTTAATCCGGACTCGTCGGGACTTCGGCGATTCCGGATTATCGATTTTTCCGGATTATAGATCATCAGTTTAAATCTGGTAAAATGGCATGCAGAAATTATAATTTCTTGTTCAGTTACAAAGTTCCGCTGTTCAAGTCCTATAATTGCTGTGTCGAGAATACTGACTAATTTGTCAATCGAAATTTTTTTGTTTTCAATAACCTCTGTCACTTTCTTCACTATCGGAAGCGAATTATAATGACGAGGAATTTGATTTAAATCATATCAAAGATGGAGTACATCGAGATGAAATACTACATTTAATAAGGAATTATAAGCCAAATAAAATAAAAACATCTGCCCTGAAGATAAGGATAGTGCTGACAGTTCAACTTCCAATTCATTGCACGCCGCCACGGCGTTAAAGATAAACAAACATTAAAATTTAGATAAACAAACGTTAAAGTTTAGATAAACAAAGGATATGCCTTTATCAATTTTTTGCAGCAATTCCACTTTTTGTTTAATGGACTCCGAAAGATACTTTCGCTTTGTGTATCCCTTACATATTAGTAAATATACTCGGAAATTCTATTTGACATAATCGAAAATTCAAGCTTACTTTTATAAAATTGCTCTAACAGTCCTGCAAAAAATAATAATCCGGATCCAATTCGAAGATTAAGGAACAACGCAATCTGCAACATTAACTGAAATAGATAATTAGATAATTTTAGCTTAGCTTATCCCGTCCGTTATACATTAAACGCGCTTTCGTAAACGTATTTTGCGCACGCGCACACGCAAATTCGCAGCGGTAAAGGTCTTACGCGCATGCGTCAACGCGACACATGCGCAGAAAGTTTGTAGCTTTGAGGTCCGGATTATAGATCATTCCGGATTATGGGTGTCCGAATTAACGACTTTTGACTGTATTTTCTATTATAAAATGACAGGGTTCGTACAATCGTTAAGAGTCCTTAAAAGTCCTTAAATGTTTTTTGAATCGATTTTTGGTCCTTAAAAGTCCTTAATTTTGGCCAAAATCAGCAGAAGGTCCTTAATTTTAATCATCTGAAATTTCTGTCTGTTTTTACGACTGCCATTTTGAGTGTGAATTAGCATTTTGGAGGAATATTTTTGGCGATTCACTGCCGTATATATGGTAAATCTTTTGAATGGGTTTATGAGTTATAATTTGTTTCTATTTCTAATATAAATGATGGGATACTCGAGTTTCTAAGCAAGAAGTGAAACATAAACATTTCGAAATTCATTTTTCTAATAAAGAGTTCTTAAACAGCTTTTCGCTTTTGGGGATGTGAATTCTTTTATTAAACTGTTCTAAATTTGGCGACTTTTCAACATTTTGGCGATTTTAAGATTAGTTTCTACAGAAATTTTTAATTCCGAGATCTGAGAATTCTTCGACGCCTTTTTTTAAAACATCGTAACATTGATAAATGTCATTAAAATAACGGTAATATATTGAAATTATATTTAAAAAAGAAAACATTTTTATTTTTCACTGTCATATAAAGTTTCATTTTGAATCTGAAAAATAAACAAGGTATAATGCTATAAAGCACAATTTACGAAACAGCTCTTAGCAAAAACAAAATTAGTAATGTAATTAATTAAAAATGTCTTGTTTTTAATTTTTTCATAGTAAGAGTTTTTCCCATGTAATTGTCTCAGATTATTCAAAATTCTCAGAATGGGCATCAGTTTTCTCTATAAAATTAATTTTATACTTTTTCCCTCCTTTTTTTTTTTTTCCAAAATATTTCTGTCTTTTTGCTGTTACAGAAATGGTAGGGATAATTTTTCTTTAGGATTTTAGACATTGCAGCTTGGAAAGTTTAGAAGGATTTGAAGGCAAGATTTATAGACCCACGATTCTAGAAGATTCAAGAAATATGTGGCAAAATGAAAAATGTCTCCATGGTATCAAAACGTAATGGATGTATTTTACAGAAAATTTGCAATGAATTTCTTAATTTTTGGAGAACATCTGGAAGAACAATGAAAACATAATATTTGAATGTTTTACTTCTGATACTAGAATCCTAACATGTTTATCTTCGCTTTATTTTCTCTACTTTTTACTAGACAGAAGCATGGAAAATATCAAAAATGCTTCTGATCTTATCACATGGGCAGGCATTATAGAAAGGGATTTTTTTTTTATTAATAAAGAAATTGAAAACTTACAATTTAAAAGATTCATCTAATATTTCTTAAAGCATCACACACATAGCTGGCACTAGGCATTTTCCCACCTGATGCAATCTCTGTGGATCCTAAATTCTGCTGCCTAGTGCCTTTCTAAATTCTGCTTCCAATGCGTGCTCTAAATTCTAAAAGTTTTGCCATTTCTAGATTGTTGTTCGGTGTGTCACTAAATTCTAGAAATTCTGCCACATCAGCTCTAACCGGCCTGTACTATATATATTTCATATTGCTTCTGAATGTTCATATTACTAAAGAAATAAAATTAGCCGCTTTTTCTGTACATTCTAAATGCATTTAGTGTTTTTTAGAATAACATAAATACTTAATTAAATACTTAATTAGAATAACATAAATACTAAAATGAAAAGGAAACATGTTGAAGAAAGAAACTGAATACATAAAGGAAATTATTCTTCAAAGATATGTGTAGTTATTATTATGTAAATTACGTTTTAGATTAACTTCGCATTAGTGTTTCCGATGACCATTACCTGTTCAAAAAGTAACATAATCGGAATAGTAATTACCAGAAATGTAATTATTTGTAATTTTACGTATTTGTTGCTCTGACGATAAGCCAGCAGTGGACAGTTTGAAATCTATCAAATTTTTACATACTTAATATCAGAAATTAAATTAGCGATTAATAAAAAGAGTGGCACTGCAGGATTTCTATTTCAAAATTCATTTTCTATTAAAAAATTAAACTGTATTTATTTAAAATAAGTTACATTTCAGATGGCAAAGGATCGCAAGTAGTTTGAGAGCCGTAACTGGCCATGTCTGGTCTATATAAGCGTTTATGACTTTACGTCTGTAAATACCTACTGACACCTGCTCGAAATGTCCGTGCATATGTTATCTCCCATAACTCAAACATGATTAACCATAGAATATAAAAATTTTGTGTGTGGGACTGCTATAACATCTAGTTTTGTACCTCCCTTTTTTACTGCAATCGTTTGGCCAAAAACTTTTACAGGAAAAAAATAATAATAATAATCTTTACCGAAAGAAAACAGAAAAGTATCTATCTGTACATAGCAATATTAGTTTAAAATATTCATCTTTTCTTTAAAATATTGGCGATTTCAATAACTTTTAGAGCAATCTTTTCACTTGAGAATCTCTGCAGGTCTTGCATAGATTGAACCAGCTTCATTGTATCCTTCTTAGTTATTTTGCTCCATTCATATAGCATTTCTAAGCATTTCTTTAGAAGTTATGTGGTGCTGACGAATCCTACGCTCCTGTAAATCCCACAAATGCTCAAAGCAATTGAGGTCTGATTACTGGGGTGGCGTATGCAATTGGTGTTTCGTATAATAGATCAACCACAACACATTTTGCACCATATATTTCCGATTGTTATCCTGCTGAAACCAGAAATCCTCACCAACTTCCAGTTGCTTGGCGCTTTGCTTCAAATTTTTTATTAAAATGCTTAAATAAGCATACTGATTCATCACGGACTCTATGAAAACGAGTTTGCCAACTGTATTCACTGCCATACGCCCTCAGATCATGATACCATCTCTGCCATGTTTGACCATTGGCACAAAATTTTCTTTATCAAATGCAGTATTGCTCTTATACCATGCTGACTTCTTTCGCGTGATTACAAATATGCAAAATTTACTCTTGTCTAAGAACAATACTTTTTCTCAAAATATCTTATCCTTATCTACATATTCATTAGAGAAATTCATTTGTTTCTTCCTGTTGACATCCAATATACATATGGCCTTTTGTGCACTACACAGGCATGATGACCGTTCTTCTTCATAATTTCGCAAACGGTATCTTCATGGACATCCTTGCCAAAACAGTTTTAGATGCTTATTTAGGAAGCAGTTACTCTAGAATCCTTTTTCTGAGCCTGCAAAATTGTTAGTTTTTTTTTCATACGGTCAATTTGCTAGGGTGTCCAGAGCATGGCTTTGATAAAATTATACTAATGTTAGTGAAAATTGCAGCACACGAAGGAATTGTGCAAATTGAATCAAACTTACAGGAAATGTAAAGTGAGGTATAAGATAGGCAAATGATTAGAATTACAAAGCGATTGCGCAGGCATGGAACTGGCTGCTTGGTCGATGTTATAAAGGACTGTATTGTTGCGTTTAAATCTGTTTATCGTTATCTGTTTGCCGTGAATGCTTAATTAGTGGTCAATATGCTTCATCAACAGCGGAGGAGGCCATACCAACAACTAACGAAGTTTGAATGAGCCTACATCGTCGGTATGCAAGAAGGTGAACTTTCATATCGAACAATCGCAGCCTGTACGCAACGTAATGCCACAACAGTGATGCGTATTTGGAAGAAATGGACAGAAGGTGAAGCAATGTGAAATCCTGGCAGTGGGGCACACAACAGACACCACACAGGCACAACGGTACGGGACAACAGACACCTGATCCGCATGGGTTTGACGGATCATATAGCGTCGTCTTGTGTGTTAGCGCAAACTGGAGCATGGCAACAGGTGTTGTGTTGCCTAGCTACGCAGTTCTTCCCCATCTGCTGCAGCATGAACTGCGTGCAAGTGTTCCTCTACACAGAATTTCCTTGTAGCTGAATCACTGACGCCTCCGACTTCAGTGGGCATAGCAACACAGTGCATGGAGTGCCCTGTGGCTACAAGTTGTTTTCTCTGATGAAACTCTCTACAGTCTAGAATACAATGATGGAAGAGTATGCATGAGACGTTACGGGGGGGGACATCTGCTCCCATAATATGTTATCCAGTGTCATACTGCACAAATGCCTATTGTCATGTGTGGAGAGCTATTGGATGTAATTGTCAATCCCATCTAGTGCAGATTGCGGGTAACCTCAACAGTCGCTACATAAGGGAAGTTGTGGAGCCAGAGGTCTTTTCCTTTCTTCGATGCATTCCGGGCGCTTTCAGCAGGATATTGCCCGTGCGCCTCTTCCTCAGTCTGCACAAGCCTTCTTTAGGGCACAATAGGTTTCGCTTCTTTCATGGCCTGCTTATTCCACAGCTATGTCCCTCATTGAGAATGTCTGGAATTTCATCAGTCGGCAACTTACTAATACAGCTGGTGGGGCACACATTAATATTGAACTTTGGCGTCAAGTCAAAGCTATATGGAATACCATTCACCGAGATTGCATTCAGAACCTGTATGATTCAGTGCCACAACATGTACAGGCTCTCATCGCTTAGCTTGGCAGACACACAAAGTACTCATTTCTGACATCTTCATTTTGTTTTTATGTATTGTAAATTTAATCGTTTTATTTGTACCATTGTCAGTCATATGTTGAATAAATTTCATTCGTTTTTGACGATTTCTTCATGGTGTTGCATTTTTTTCACAAACATCGTAGAACCAGTGGAATTGAATGATTGTACAACGTATATGACTGAAGAATGAATCCTTAAATTTCCCTTCCGTTTCTAAGTTTCAGGATAATTCTTCTTTCGTCAGCTGTGGTCTCTTTAGTGTTGGAGGCCATAACCAAATTTTTAACAAACAAACTTTAAACTACTCCGAAACAAAATTTATTCAAACAAAAATTTATCATGAACTAAAACAAAACCGTTATTGCAAGTGTAAGCATTCCCTCTTATATGGGGATTTTCCTTTTTGATGTACATGGAAACTTTTTCTGCTACAAAGTGCTGCCACCACTTTTTTTTTTTTTTTTTTTTCCCTTTGAAAGCACATTTATTTTGACCATTACTTTGTGTGATATCTGTACATACAGGCAGAATCTTTTTTCCTGACTTTTTTTTTTTTTTCCAAAAAGGATTTTAAAATGGATCGAGTTGTGTACCTCCCTTTTTACTGCAGCTGACAGTACCAAAACATATATCCCACTTACGTGGCTTGTCTTTACCCAGCCTTTATTTTCACAATCGTTTTAGTCATATATTTCCACTTACAGAAGCATTTTAAATGACAAAAAAATTCATGTTTCATCAATGTCAAATTTTTAAAAAAAAGTTAATTTTGGATAAATAATGAAATCTAACTTTTAATGTTGTATCCCGGTTTGTGTACGTATATTATGTAAAATTTCGATTAACCTAATGACTCTACAAGTGGCGCCCGAACTAAAAGGGTTGTGGATGATGATTCTCCGCACCCAGGATTTAGCGACTAGGTCCCCTAAAACCCTAGTCGCCCTTTAAAAAGGGAAGTATATAAGGTATTTTTCCCACTTTTCTAGCGTCCTTCGTGGTGTAGTGGTTCTGCACGCTGGGTTGGTATTCCAGAGGTCCGTGGTTCGATTCCCGGCGAAGGCGGTTGCTTATTTTTCATCTTGTCTGCTTCTAATTAACCTAATGACTCTACAGGCTGAGCAGTTGTCTATAAGAAAGTCACCTTTTCCTTTTACAGAATAGTTTTTTTTTTTTTTTTTTTTTTTTTTTTTTTTTTTTTTCCCTAAGAGTTGTATTTTTTTTTTCCAAATTTATGATATCATTCATGACTTAGGGTAGAGATTTTTCGTCTAAAGGGTCTTTTTGTCACTGAAGGACTATTGTTTTCGTTTTCGATTTTGCGTTGAATCACTGTAAACGGCGAATCACTTTTCAAACTGTTGCCACCAAATGTTAGAGTCCAGCATTATATTTGAAGAAATTAAATAATGAAAAATCTGCATAAATGTATGTATATTTCCCTCATTGTGATAAAACAACGGTACAAGGAGCTATAAAATTTTGAAGCGTAATCCTCCTACGAATATGAACATGTGGAAGACCAAATTTAAAATTTGGAATATGTTTTATTATCGATTTCAGATTTCGTAAAACTTTAACGAATTTAATAACAAATTCAAAGCTTTAAAAGCGAGCAATGGCAACACTCTACGGGGGGAAAAGAGACCTTTTTATCTGCAGCGCGCGGAACTGTGTATCAGAAATCCTAACGATATGCTCGTTTTAAAATTATTTTGAGACATTGCTCTTGAACTGAATTTTATGGTTTAAGTGCAAAGAACGGGATATTTTATAAATAAAGGTAACACACAAAACGTTAAAAAAAATACCCCTTTGTACGTAATTTAAACTCTGAAACCTTTCAAATTCCCTCCCCCCCCTTTTTTTTTTCAGGGGTGGCAGAGAAATTTCCAGATTGAAAGAGAAACTTTGAGGCAGTTGATTGGTTTAAAGGCCAAATTAAATCCATCTGAAAAACTTACATTATTAAAAATTATTGTATTGAAATGGAAATGAATCACTATAATTGTTATTATACATTACCTATTTATAAAGTAATGTGTCAATTAAAATAGCAAACAATAAGGCAATCTGAATGCAGTATTCTTTCTTTCATTTTGATAAGAAATTGACATAATAAAATATCTCTTAATGTTTGTTGATTTACTGTGTATAATTAGTGGTTACTTGTCATATGCGTAGGTCTTTCAGCAACTGAGTAGTAAAGTTGCTGAACCTTGGTATTTTGATCTGGGTTCGATTCTAGGCGAACGGGCTGGTAGCATGGGCGTTTTCATGATTTTTCCCATGTTAATATGGATACGAGCCAGTTATCTTTAAAAAGTCCTCCATGAAGGTATCTGTTCTCTCAGGCAGATAGCCCTTGAAGGCTTTGTCATACTCAACAAATCTTCTACATTTATTTGTAATATGTATATACGTATATGCTTGTCTATAATGTAATTCATATGTTTGTATGTAATATAATTCATATGTTTATTTATAATAAAATATGATAACTGTTCATATACTTATTTGAATAAGCCATTTGAAAAAAATAAAGAATGGTTTATAACTAAACAGTGACCGTGAGAAAGATACATCACTCTTTTTTTTTTTTTTTTTCCAGGGTTATTTAATTTGAGAGGAAGTGATGTTGTTTACACTCCAGTATTTAAGGCATATGCATTTGTGTCAAAAAAACAAATAAGGTATGTAATCTTTTTTCCCCCTTATGAGTTGAGTTTTTGGGCTAATTTTAATTTAAATTAGTCAAAGAAATTTTTATTTATTTTCAGATTATATGTTAAACCTCTTAAGATGACTCCTGAAGTTGAAAAGCACTTGTGTCCACAAGTTAATAATGAAACTGAATGTGTTCAGGTTTAAAACAATTCTTATATTCACATTCTATTGTTTAAAAACTGGATAATTATAATTTCAATTTCAACTGCAGATATTTTTGTTAAATTATCAGAATAACTCTTATTATTTGTTAGTTAGGAAATATGCATATTTTTAATTATATGTAAAACTATTATTCTGTATAATATTGTTGCGTGCGTACGGGTTCGTAACATATTGAATGCACAAGTCCGATAAAAGGTTAATAGAATTTATTCTTATCAAAAGAAATATAACAGAACGCTGGATTTTTCCTCAGACATATTTGTACAATATCACGTAATATAATCAGTAGCTATACTTTAAACTACTAAAATGTTAACTAGAACGCGGTCCACAGCGCAGAGAAAGCTAATCCAATCAACAATAATTAACGGCTGATAACTAAACAACTATGCAATATTTTCCCTTATTTAAAAGGGCAAAATTCCCGTTCACCTTTCTTTTCATTTTTTAAACACACACATTTTCAAAATAAAGCAAACCCCTCTGATGCAAATAGGCCAAGTTGCACTGCTATCAAAGAATGTCTAAATAAGAATATGCATCAGATCAAAAATGCAAAGATTTAAAAAATGCTATAGAAAAATTCCATGCTGTGAAATACTGAATATTGCTATGTAGGGGGGGGTCTTCTGTGTTAATTTTCAGGGACAAATAGCTGCTTTATCTTAATACGCATGATGGTCATACATGTGTGAGTGAAAAGACACGCATCTAGCTCAGTGCGATGCGATAACACTTTGCCACGTGTTATGATATAAGGTGTCATATCATATCGCTGTCACACTGTAGCTGCTGTACAGAGTCTGGATGTCTTGCCTTGATTGCATAGATCATCTGTTATTGAACATGTAAAAGAGCACCTTAGGAGACATAGATGGTCTTCTGCAACCATTAAGAGATGCTGTTACCTTATGCCAGCACAATAACTTTACTTCAAGACTTGATCCACGCACTGTTAAACACTATTGTGATTTTAGGTGACCAGTTGTTTAACATGCATGGGAAGTATACAGGGAATTAATGATAACACCTAAGATGCTATATAGCGAGTGCTATGTTTTGCATGTCCATGTAAATAAAATAACTTTTAGTGTAATTAATTATATGTAAATACGCATGGGATAATGTGAGCCATAAGTACGGAAAAGGAGCATTTTTGTAATTTTCTTGTATAAAAATGAAATTATTTTATTCTATTTACAAGTGTAATTAATTTATTTAGAAAATAATTAAACAGAGAATTCAAAAAGTCTACTGACAAAGTAATGTTATCATCAGCACAAAGATTTATCTGCAAAGTCACGATACCTATCGCAAAGTATCTACATATATAAAGAAAATATCCCTTTCCTTTTCCCTACCTTAGTTAACATCTGAGCTAGTAACCTAAACACTCTTCCCACTGTTTGGCGCCTGTCGTCCAAGTTGGCGAATGCGATTTTAGGAACCTCGGCAAGTGCCGGTTATTTGAGTATCCCCATAATCTAAAATACTAAGATGAAAAATGTACTTAGATTTATTTAATCACAACAATAACTAACCGTTTATAATATGTTCTATGTGTATGGTTTACCCAAAGAACTTCTAAGGAAATACCGCTCTCCCGCCAACCCGATTTACAACATATCTCTCTTTTAAAAATTTCTTACGATTTTTATGTAGCTTGGCTTAATACTTCGTTATTTGCATCAAAAGAGTGATTTTGAGCGTATGAAAACACTTCGTTTTTCTCCAGATTACATATAAAAGAAAACCAAAATCATTTCATCAGTGAAAAATTACAGCACGTTTCTGTTGTGTGAGTGAGAGCACATATGTCCGAAAGCGTTATATTCCAGTTCTCCAATGAACATCGAGTGCCACTGCGTGTCATCTGGCATATATTATCCAGTAAACACAAAGCAAGATCGAGATTGTTATTTCGTTTATCTTGTCGCTGAGCGATGTGAGTGCGCGTGCTTTCAAGAAATAGTGTAAGAAATTATGATCTTTTATTTTAGTGTGTCTGCAAAAAAGGTAAAACGCTCATATACTTTTCAAAAATCGTACACACATGACTTCTATTATTTCCTCAAAGAAATAAAAGACATTTGTGGTGTGTCCCGTTTGTCATTGCATTTTTCGATTCCGTACAGTGGAAGGGCCGATGTTCTCAAACATGCACATACACAAAAATACAAGGACAAGGTACAAGGTAGAAAAATGTTTACCGTTAGTGATATCGCTAAGAAATACTCAAGTGCAAGGACTAAAACAGCTGCAGTTGTTAAAGAAATGGGTATGAAAATTAAATCTTCAGTTAACTGATTGCATTAAAGCAGTTCCATTTTGCATATCTACGAATGGAAGCAATAGTTGCGGCGTGCACAGTGCGACAATAAATATCTGTAGAGGCTTCGCTAGGTTTTACTGTATGATATATTACACACATAGAGATGGCTGATTTTAAAAAAATAAACATTTAATTACAACAATTACCACATTAAATTAACATTGAAGATATTTGCATTGGAGGATAAATCCGAGCGTGTTTCTAGCTCGTCCCGAAAATCTCCGTTACAGTTACAGCTAGAGATTCAGGCATGCGGTTGGCGAGTAACAAAAACCAGTTCCTTCAGTATCGCCCTCCAGTGTCAACGAAATTAGAGGTACCGAGGGTTAAATCGGACCCTACGTCCAGAACGTGTATGCTGAGAAACACTTTGCTTCTGGAATCCAGGTACAGGTGATGATGCAGTGGCGACTAGAGGTGTAGACATATGGGGTGAAGGTGTAGGTGCCTTTGAAGGGGCTGTGATTGAAGTATTAGTCTTGACAGTTTCCTGTAGAAAAGCAAAGGTTTAAGACTATCAATGCTTACCACTGTCTCTTTGTTACCGAAAAGTATCCGATAGTTCTTGTGCGACGTAGAACCAAATGTGAGCCTCTATAAGTAGGCTCCAAAGACTTATGATGCATCACATCCGAAGAGTTTGTGAGCTCTTTGATACTAAACACAGGTCTTGAAGAATGTACATTTGTGGGTGGTAGGATATAATGCAGCCATAGTTTCGCGGAATTGTCTGAAAAACACATGAGGCTCGAGATTAATTGATTTTTTGTAGGATTTATAAAATCTTCAGGTAAATCTAAATTAATACCGTAGACCATTTCATCACTGGAAGGTCCTCTTTAAAAGCCGTTCTTAATCTTAGCAACACTCTGGGAAGCATATCAACCCAGTGAACAAAAGTATGGCGTCTAATGCCCTGTTTAAGAGAGTGGTGAAACCTCTGGACAAGTCCATTGAAATTCGGATGGTACTGTGATGTGTGGCTCTTTTTAGCTCCTAAGAATTTCATTAATGCATTAAATAATTGAGACTCTAACTCATGTCCCTGGCCCATGGTAATGCACTCGAGTGCTCCAAACCATGAGGTCCACGCGGAAAAAAATGTTTTGGGCACTGTGTCAGCTGATATATCCACGATAGGGATAGCCTCTGGCCAAAGTGTATACCTGTCGATACAAGAGGTATGTATAACCTTGTGATGGAAGTAAGGGTCCAACCAAATCGATATGGATGTGGCTATAAAGCGAGCAGATAGTAGCTCAAAGTGTTGCAATGGAGTTCGAGTGTGTCTATGGATTTTTTACCTTTGACAGTCTGCATATGCTCTATCCCATACAGCGATGTCCTTTTGCATCCCAGGCCACACAAAACACTGTTGGATTAACATGCTGGAAACTCTGATGCCAGGATGGAATAAATTGTGAAGGCTGCTAAAAATACCATGTCGAAATTTCAGTGGAATGTATAGCCGCACCACATTGTCCCGTGCATCGCAGTGCAGTTAAAGATTTGGTTCCAGTTGCATAGGTAATAAATTAAATCCATGTGAAGCTTTGTCAGACGAAAGGTTTTGTAATTATGGAATCTTGTTTCTGACACTCTGCAATGGCGGAGAAATGTGTTATTGAAGGCAATTGAACCTCTTTAATTCTGAACAGATCATCAGCGACCTATTTTGAGAGACTTCAACATGCCTAATATCAGTTGCAAACTGCGCTATGTAATCGAGGAGACGCATTTGTCTGGGAGAGGCCCTGTCAGGCTTTTGTTGGAAGGTGAAAATCATAGGCTTGTGATCGGTATAGATAGAAAATACTCGACCTTCAACCATATGACGAAAATGTTTAACTGCCACTAAGAAGTTCGCGATCGTATGTTCTACATTTTGATTGTGCTGCAAAAAAAGTTTTTGAGAAAAACGCCATCTTCCATGCTGCGTCTATAGGCTGCTGCAAAACCGCACCCATGGCCAAATTAGACGCTTCAACCATTAATGCTAACGCATGCTTAGAAGGTTAGCTAAGAACTGTTGCCGACGGTAGATCCTCCTTACGTTGTACAAAGGCCGTGAGAGATTCGGCCGACCAAATAACTGGCCGCGTGTCTTTCTTTTTGCTGCCTATTAAATACGTATACAAAGAAACCTGCTTTGCAGCGATATGAGGAAGCGATGATAAAAGTTCAACATGGCGCAACTCTTGGACAGTTTTGGGTTCTGGGAAATTTTGAATTGCAGTAACTCTATCACTAAGCAGGCGAACACCCTCCGAGAAAACCTCATGACCAAAGAATGACACTTTGATTTTCCGAAAACACACTTTGATGGATCGACAACTACACCATTGGACTGAAATCGGTCAAGGACAAAACGAAGGCGTTTAATGTACTCATTTTCTTTTGTTGAAGCTACAAAAATGTCATCGAAATATGGCACACAAAAATCGAAGTCATGATGGACTTAATTTATGAAATGCTGAAATGTTTGTGCGGCATTACACAACCCAAAAGTCATAACAGGAAATTCGAATAATCCAAAAGGAGTTATGATAGCAGTTTTTGGTATATCAGGTGGATTGACCTGGATCTGATGATAAGCACGAGTTAAATCTAACGTAGAAAAACACTTTTGCCTGCCAAGATT